CGCACCAGATCACCAGCAGGTGCACCGTGCTACGCATCGCTTGCAACTTCTAGCCAGATTAGACTGAACGCTTCTCAACATATCGACAGCTTTCAAAATATATCTTCGAACCGCTTTATTCTTGACTTCTGATTTAATTGCATGGTATACGTTGGTTATAAAAGCATTACATGTAAAAGCATTGTCAAGCTTCGAATACGTGTGGCATCTTTAACTAGTACCAATCGAAAATCCAGCGTTGATATTTGGAAGTATAAAAAATTTCTGTCAAGTTGAAAACACATCCGGTCGGCCATTATTAGGGATAAGGAGAAAACTTGATTTCAATCAGTACTCATTACCAGTAGGCGTCACAGAAACAAATAAGTTGCTCAGAAGTACGAAAACCTTAATCAAATTATTTTGGACCAATATCTATCATACACTCACTATTATTGTTACATTTCTTGTTTAGTTTCCTGTTTTATAACCAAACTATATATCTGGTTTTATATTAAAGCAGAAATCGGTATGCACTACTCCACCGAGACATATTATCTCATTTATTTCTTGTCTTGGGGTGCAGCCAGATTCAGCACTATTTATGATGAGTTATACTGGTAGCAGATTAACAAACAAAAAAATAAGTAGAAGGGGTTTTGTGGAGATTTAGTATTTATCATTGTTGAAAGCATGAGTCAATTGAAGCTAGACCACCATGGAAAACCTGGAAACACTGGACGGCCGTTTCGTCCTATTATGGGACTCCTCAGCAGTGCGCATAATAGGACGAAACGGCCGTCCAGTGTTTCCAGGTTTTCCATGGTGGTCTAGCTTCAATTGACTCATGCTTTCAACAATGAAAAAATAAGTGTTCATGATATATTAACACACAGGGTAAACGCATAGATAATACCTAAAAGTTAAAAGTATGTTCCGAGATATTCATGGTCTGCATAACAGATGCGAATCAAACACGGATTTATAACACAATCACGTGGATAAATTGTTTTTATCATAGACACAGATGGTTAATAACTCATGGGATGACAAATCTTCATCGATAAAGGCGATTAGGAGATGTGCTACATATACATAACTGCCACCAGCTTCAACGAGACATGTTTGTTGGTGCAGAAGTAGTCTAGTTAAGAAAGAGAAGTTTAGTCCACTCTCTCATTTAACATGCTATCGTACAGCCACGTGCACGCAGCCATCGCCAGGGAAGTCCAACAATCCACTTTTTTGTGGTAGGGGTATTGTCTAGGTGATCGAGATAAACATTTATTATCTAGGTCAGGGTGCGGAGATCCTACGTGAGAGAATCAGACCTATGGGGCACACATACGTCAACATCCTGATGGAACGAACAATGTATGAATCTTTTGTCGATCGTTGGGATAGATCAAAGGCTTGTAGAGCGGTTCACTAAGAAAACCGCCAGCTTTGAATTTGGCACCTTGACAGTATCCCAGCTCACACAAAATGGTGCTGATTACAATTTATTCTCGAAAGTTATCATGACTATTCAGTAACACCTGATTTTATTCTACATCGCATCACTTGTCTGTTTACTTTTATCCACATTTTATGCATTCCTTTATTCTTCAACTCCTACAGCAGCGCGTCTATGGTGAAGACCCTGTCCTATCTAAACGACCACAAGTCACTGGCTAGTCAAAAGTTGAATAATGCCACTGAATACAAATTCTGAGCCAGCCTTTCTGAAACAATGTCTGGCATTCAAACTGTCCTCAGTCGACACTTGCATATTAATTAAGATCGGACAACAGACAGGGCTGATTGTGTCTTTAGAAAGTCTGCTAACCATTTGAGATCCGCATTTCAGGCTCTACTGATGCACTACACATTCTCTCTTCAAAAGCCCTTTTTCTAAGCTTGTTTCATATTCACTTATCAGAAGACCCTCTGTGATCTTTGTATGGTTAGCCAAAGGCTAAAACTAAGATAGCACTATCCGAACGGATCTTCATTAGTCGATTACATTCTGTTGATGAATTCCACTACCATTTCAATGATATTTTACAGAAAATGCCTTCAACGGATATCGTAATACAATTAGCCAGATGTTTGAATACGCAGTTCTAGTGCCAAGGCAGGCACAAAGAAGTTTATTTGACCGATGTGAACACGTTAATCACAGGTTGAATAACTGTTACTGTCTACTGCAACTTTATGCAGACCACAACCCGTTTCTGGCTAGTACTAACTACTGCTGGTGTGATTGTATACAAGACCACCACCCCTTTAAGAGTACTTATCTGGACACTGGCCATACCAGCATTTTCATTTATCTTGCGCCTCAATGGCGGACAAATACATCATTCTAAACAGATCGATGTAAGTAAATAGAATGCATCTCCTTCGCAACAAAATATCAAATCGACCTAGGTTCATAGAAAGCTGTCAAACCACCAAAAAGTATACATGGAGACTGAGTGCACTAGCGTAACGCCGTGGAATTTTAAGGGGAAGTCGCTTGTGGCGACTCGTTAAGGCACATCGGCCTACTTAAAGTAATCGCGAGTATGACAATAAACGTAAATTCCTGTGTAAAAAAGACTGCAAATTTTAAGTAAAAAACCAAGAAACCTAGTGATCTGAACATGCAGAGGATGGAACTAATGGGAACATTTAGTTAGGGTCTAAAGTTCTTTCACATCACCCGAGTAATTGGTGAGAGGACTGATACGAATGCAACAATCTGTGGATCTGATGGTTAGGCAACGAATAACGTCCACTGACTTCTTGAATGATGAACAAAGTCCCTCAGATGGTGTGCTAACCCAGCGCCACCCATCAAACGGTTGTGTTCTTTATGGTTTGGCGTTAATTGACTTAACGAGGCGGGAATCACAAAGAACTGAAACTCCTTCGGCTACATAAATTCCTAGGCCGCAATGACTTACCTAAGAACCTTTATACGAATAATTGTGATATTTTGATAACAGAACTAACTGAAATGCTTGCAAATACTTGCCAATTAGAGAATGTCCCAAAATACTGGGATGTGGTGAAACGGTTTATGTCACCTATCTAACAACTATTATAAGTTTAATTCTGAATACAAACAAACTAATGGGCTACATTGTACTTCGCAGATTGTTCAAAAACCTGGGAAAGACCGACTCGAGAGGAGCAGGCAGGTTCTCGAGGATGCACTGATAGTACCCCCACCCTTCAACAAATGTCAGAACACCGCCGTACTTAATGCAGTCTCGCAATCATTGTTTCTTGATGTCAGAGCTGGCTTCGATTCAGTGAAGACTGCTTACTAGAATTATCTGTCGAAAAAGTGTGTCCCTTTTAAGTTAAAGTACTTTAACAAGACTGGTGGGGACCTGTACTCACTCTGGGTAGTGAGGAGATAGTAGTCGAGAAGTTCATGTATTTGGGTAGTTGCATGAATGATGGTGGTGGCGTGAGTGATGAGATCAATTCACGTATGATATAAACCATAGCGGTTTATGCCAATCTGAGCCATCTTTGAACTTTCGTGGTCTTAGTCCGGTTGTAAGATGTCGGATCGATAATCCGACAGTCAGAGCAGTCGCGCTCTACGCTTGTAAAACCTAGCCTCTCCTACTTGACGATGTTAAACGACTTTCTGTGTTTGATCATCGTCGGCCCTGAATGAGTTCTGACTTATCGTCACAACACCATGTTAGTGTCGTGGAGAGTCGATAATATATGTTGGTCCTTCACGACTCCCTGGCCTGGGTCCTAGAGATGGTGCAACACAGTGTCTAGAGACCTTATCAGTAATGGCTCAGAATAGAAGCGTGACGATCCTGTCGTAACTTTCTTTTAATTTCTACATACAAGTTAGAGAAACTTTCTTAACTTCAAGAGTCTTCTTTGCCTGTATTTTCACTGAATAAACTACTTCTCATAATATCTGATTAAGATGTGTACGATCAACAATTGGAAATATGACTCAGAGAATCAATTACAATAGCAATGATACATTCACCTTTATAACAACGAATCACCTATTTTAATGTACAAAGTTTGTGTTCGACCACTCCTTGAATACTGCGCGTTTATTCTAAGTAGCGCGCGCATAAACGGTAAATTAAGGCTGGAATCAGTACAGAGACGATTTACACTTCATACTCTTGGAACTGATTGTACCTTGACATATAATTCTAGGTGTAATAAACTTGGTCTCGACCCTTTATGGAAGAGGAGACTCAAACTAAATCTTATTTTCTTCTTTAAATTACTTAACAAACTATCCTTCACATCTAACCAGGCGATTCAATGTGCTGAAACTTCACATTACGACATTCGTAACTCCTTGTCTTTAGCGAAACAAACATATTCCAGATCTTCTCTCTATATGAATTATTTTACCTGTGAATTTCCTAGACTGTGGAATAATCTACCACAAACTATTCGTATGATAAACTTTCTCCCATTATTTGTTCGCTCCACTGATGCATCCTGCTCCTCTGAAAATGCATTAAATGCTCTAGCACCTGTAAATGTATCTTACTCCACAAGTGAGATTATAGGAACTTCAAATGTTTAACCACCTACTTTCTGTCACTAGCAACTCTAACACGTTTGAATAATAACTAACATAAACAGTGGTAAACCTAACCGGCATATTTTGGCAATCATTACTTTTTTGTTGTTCCGTGCTCTTTGCTTTAATTTTACTTTCTCTAGTTGTAGATATTTATTAATAATTCGTTCTGGCACTGGAAATAACCCTTAAAGAACAACGTTCATAAATCATCAGGCTATCCAATTAAAAGTTCCCTGGTGATGCATCGGATTGCCGTGATACATATCATAAATATACTACTTAAACAACTACTAAATTAGCAAACTTGAAGCAATCTTATGTCACATATTTGTTCTCTACATTAAATGTTGCTAATTACATCAAATTGATTATGCCTGTAAACTGGTGTGAATTCTGTAATCATTATTACCTTTCATTATACTGTCGCTTTCCCGAACGAAGATCTCCCAAATAGACAACACGAATACTGAAGAAGAACATTCTTGTTCTCTTTTTTCTTTTTCATATTTACTCAAGGATAAGTTTATGTTTTCATTTTTTACAAAAAGGATAATAATAATAATAATAATAGGAGAAGTGAAATAATTCGAGGTAGACAACATCGACAACAACAACAACAGCAATGACAATCATCAATTGAAACAGGGAATGAATTCGTTGAATTCAAATTTCACAGAATAAATTTCTTACAATAATTACATAGTTTGTGCGTATTTAATGAAAAACGAGAAAGAAAAGAAGAAAGAAAAATTATCAAACAAAAACCAAGTTTGATCAATATCAGTGTAGTTTTCGGTTCTTTATCTAAAATGACTTGAATTACCCCAAGTGTCAAAATGGTTTCTTCAACTTAGAGATGCATAGATGAAGCCAGACGAAAAACCCAATGATCCTTATTAGTTGAATAATAACAAATGACTGTGAAGAAAATCTTATACCCTTCAATACTACTACTACTACTACTACTACTAATAATAATAGTACTATTGGAGAGTAAAAGATAAAAAATTGATTTTACTCATAGCACCAATAACAGATTTTTTTTTGTTCAGATAATAAAATTTGTGTATTTAGTAAACATGTTGAATACACAAGATAATGAAAGAGAAAACAAAAAGAACAAAATGGATAAAATTTGAAAAAAAAAATAAAAACTTTATACACAGACAAAAAAAATTAACCAAGATTGTACACACCGTAAACACACAACCGGGTATTGTTTCTTACTTGTATTTGAACACTTTTTTATAGATTATATAGAAGGGGAGGTGGAAGAAGAGAAGTGTATGCAAAACAATGTATGGGATGGAGGGGGCGGGTGGGAGTTAACTAACTGATAATAATAATAATAATAATATTTGGTTTAAACGTATTACAACAGAGAAAACAAAAAATAACCAAGCTAAATGTGATTCTGAGATAAACATTCAGCAAAAAAAAAGCGGAACGAAAAGACAGGATGACAAAACAAACACACACACACATAGTAACCAAGGTAGTCAATCAATTTTCGAGAAGAATAACACCATTTAATTTCTAAATTGTTTTTACGAAATCGTTGTAGTTGTATGTGAAGTTGTCACAGGAATGACAGGTCGTCGAACAATCATTAAATCACACCGAGTAGTTGGAGGAGGAGGAGGAGAAGTTGATGATAACGATGATGATGGTGGTGATGATAATGATGATGATAAATTAGAAATAGTTTTAACATTATTTAATTGTGTTAACAAGGTATCCTCCTCTTTAGTTTTTGTATGTAAAAGTTGTGATGATGATGATGGCGGTGAAATGCAATCATAATAATCTAAAGTTGATGAAGAATGAGGCATAAAATTAGCAACACCAACAGTTAATCGTCTAACACCTTTTTGTCCATGTCGTTCAGTTGATTTTTTAGGAATTGCTGATACTGTACGATGTAAGGCAACAGTAGTGTTAGAATGATTTGTTGTTTTCTTAGAACTGCAACAATTTGTTTTAAGAAAGAGAGGAACAAAAGAAAGAAAACAGGACATAGTAAATAACAAAATCTAACAGATAGACATAAAAAGACATTTGTTCTTAAATTTCAAACACTTTAACGAATCAAATTAATAAGTAGTATGTGTTCAGTGTAAAAACAAATCTGTGCAATACAAATGAGAAGAAAAACACACACACACACACACAACAGTGAAACATTTTCAATAAGACTATAATTTATGGACGAAGCGATCAAATATAACATAACAAGTTTGGGATTATTTTCTACGCAAAATTCGTTCACCTATTTGACTAAATGACATTTCCGCATTTAGGCTGATGTCAGTTCGTGATGAAAACACTGAATCTACTTCCTAATCCTAACCATCAACTGTCAATCATAATTGGAAGTCCTCACACCGCTTTACAAGCCTCATTTAGTGTTTTTTAATAGGCGGACATTCTCAAGATCATTTTAGAGTCACTATAAAGGTCGTCCATAACTTATAGCCTTACCGAATTTTCAATAATGTTAGTAATTACTATAACATACAAATTGAAAAACGAATACCTTCACGAAAATAGTTTATATATATATATATATCAGTGTTTAAAGGTTAAAATAATCATAAGTGATTGATTGAACACTGAATAGTAATGGCTAATGTCATGTTTGCAAAGTACTTTAGAGCTAATAGAATTCTATTGATCAAGTCCCTAATTCATCTTCATTTAGGTTAGGGGTGATATTTAGTATTCATCACCAAGGAGTATGTGAAACTTGCACAGAACTTATGTTCCGTATAGGATTCGAACTCATGTTAACCAGCTTAATTGGCGATATGCAATCAGTTACTAAAGGATTAGACAATCATTATATTAGTTCCTAATCGAAGATCAATCAAATAAAAATATATCAGTATTAAAGTAGGTTAATAAAGACCCAAATAGCGCTGTAATGACGTCTTAAACTGTAAAGCTGAATGACATTGGTTTGAATTATACTAATATAATCCATATGTTTATATTGTATAAGTTTTGAGTACTGACAAACTTTATAGTTGACGAACAAAAACCATCAACTTTTGTGATGGTGGAGAAGATTTGTAGCTCAGGTGGGTGATTTTGACGTGGGTTTGTTCTCTGAGCTGGATGGTTCGGTCGTGGATTTCTCATCGTCCTTCTGAACGACATCATCAGCACAGACTTCTACCCGATGATGATGATAATTTTAGGATCTCTCTTCTAAAAGCAATTTTCTGGAGTAAAAAAAGAACTTGTATGATGATGTACGTTGTTCAAGTTTTAAGGAGATTTGGCACTGGACCGAAATGACTATCTACAGACATACATACACTAATAACCATTATACATGAACTTCTTAGCAATTTCATCAGTCCTGGGTACGAATCTCGCTAGGCGGGATCGTAGATGCGCATTGCTGAGGAGTCCCACAGAGAACGAAACAGCCATCCAGTGCTTCCAGATTTCACATGGTGGTCTAGCTTCAATTGATTCATAATTTCAACTATGAAAAGAGTCACATTTGTCTTGATCTTGTACAAAGATTATTTTTTATTTTATGGTGTGATGCGGTCTATCTGTCTAGTATATAAACCAAGTATGTTTGAAATAAATGATTCGCATAACAGAAGCTGTAATTGGTGTTTTTGGACTCAATTGGAAGGGCTAGGCGGACAAGTGGACTAATAAGGACGTTAGACTACTCATACTGGTCGAACGTCATTGCTTTGGCACAGTGTTAAGATTAGGCAAGTCCTATTTCGATTAATGGATAATTCAGGTGATAAAAAACCGGACATAAGACCACAACAAATTGTCATACGGCCCTTTCTTAATTCATAACAAATAGAATTATAAACAGAAAGGAAACTGTACTCTGAATGATTCTACAAAACGTTTAGTTGAAAAACGTGGAAGACAGAAAAAAAAGTAAGAAATTACCACACACACACACACACAAATATTGAGTCAATAGCTGACTGAGGTTTTTTATCACTTCAGTTACAATACCCACTTACTCAATTGGATACTACTTACAAAAATTTTTTTTTCTTTTTTTTTAAGAAATCAGTCTAACAATAGAATAGAATATTAAATGACAGTGAAACCTTATCAAAATAATCGTTTTTCTGTTAATTGTGCAATCGGTATAACATAATCATCATTAGTGTTCAATATTAGCTGTTTTGATTAAATTCAAACAAAATATGTTAGTACCTACATTAATAATACTTAATAAATATTATTTATACACACATATATATTGGTCCCCAAATGCCCTGGTAACGCCGAGTGTCGCGGGGCCACTCTGTCTCTCGAAATGCTCTCACACGGCCACGACTATATAGCTTCTACCAAGGAAGTCCTACTCACTGACTTCTCGTAGTGAGGGTGCTGTTTACGAAATTGAGAGGACAAAAAGCTAATGTCCAGAGCTTTAACCAGGTTGGTGGACATGTAGGGTCCACCTACGGAAGTTGGAAAACCCTCATTCCAAACCAATGGTGCACATGAGCTCCAGTATCCTGAGGGAACAAATGGTATATGAATCAATCGTTGGTCACCCTATACCATGGGACTGCATGTCCTCACGATGCTCCACTGTCTTGTGGATCAGACATTTAGGTTTCCGGGTATGACCCCCTTAGAAAACCACCTGCTTCAGTTTGGGCACCTGGGCAGTATCACAGCCGTCACACAAATCAAATGAGATTTGTGCGGCGCACATATATCTGGTGCTCCCTTGTGCCAATATTTATGTGTTTAAATAAAATAAACAAATAACATACATATTGATCATTGGTCAGTATATATGTTATGTAGAAGTATACTATCTTCCGTATTATTATCATCACTGAAATAGTTTGTGAAGTAAAAAAAGAAATATTCAGTAATTAAGTCAGTAACAACTAAGCGATTAGAGAACGCTGATAACCTATTACAACATATCATTGTGATACAAGAATTCTGTCTATAAGAAATGAATTAGATCGTTGAATGTTTAGTATGATGCTGGACTAGAACCAAGATGATATTGGTTGTTAATTAATCAATTGTACCTATCTCACTCCTACAGGAAGTTATTTGTGACCTGAATGGCTCATCTTAGGTTTTGAACTTCAATAACATAGGTCCCAATCCCTTGGAAACCAGTCTCTTCAAGACTGTTCAGTAAGCCTTGGTAACGAGTGTCAACTAGCACGAGACCAAAGTCAAACTGAGTTTCCAGCCATCTATTGCCAACAAACCAACATGTTGTTACAGTATTTATAATGTATTATTATTCCTACTTCTAATAATCGTAAGGATAGAGACTTTTTTTACTGTTAATACTCAGAGAGATGAATTAATCGAAATCAGAAGGGTAATGTAGACTTCTCGAAATAATCACCTCTGCACTGATTATGTGTATACACAAAGTAACTGGAAAGTGGGAGATTTGATTACAGTGGAAATTAATAATAAATCTATTTTGAACAAGTTATCATATGGATTTATGAGCATACTATAATATAGATGTGTGTGAAGATTCGAACAAATAATAATTGCAGTTATTAGCTGAAGGGATTATTCAAAACTAATGCTACGTTTGAACGGAATGAAAGTCAACTACACAACAACAAGACACGCTAAGCTATTCCACTGCGCCCCAGCATTGCTAGCTACAGGAAAGTCACTAGATTCAACCGAGGGAAATGTATATTCTACCAGCAGTCGGAAGCACAAACGAACAACCATACAACTCATGAGTATATATACAGTACAAAAATAGATTTGGAAAACATCACAAAAGCGTACTAGAAGGTCCTTTGAAATGGAAAATACAAACTAAAGGTAAATGTTTGACAAATCAGTTAACTTACTTAGAGGATTTTTCTTTCATTTGTGAATTTCTATGTGACTGATTATTCATCTTATCCAAAGCCCTTAACCACAAAGAATGAATTTGTTCAATAATTTCTGTTTAGTTAAAAAGAGAGAAAGAGAAAAGGGGGAAAACACAATACGGTGAAACGTGCTTGATAAACTATTAAGTCATGTAAAGTACGGTGTACAAGTTTATCGAAGAAATGTACATATATCCAAAGCACTATATTCTTTAGCAACACACAGAGGAAATTATTCAATGATACACAAAGTAGAGTCTAGACTATACGCACCAATTGAAGTTGCCACAACCTTCAACACAGAGTCATGACAGAGAAGTAATAGTATTAGTGACAGTAGAAAAGAATTGGCACTGATGATATGGTTCGAGAAAATATGGGTTTGGAGAATAAAAAAGTGTCATCCTTACTTTGCGTCTCACCCAAATATTGTTAACTAGGAAACCCCAGAATGTATGAGTGATGCTCTGAGGACACTTATGTAGGGTACTACTAGGTATGACATAACTGAACTCTACTGATCACGGCTTCTCATTAAAACTCCGGAAATCACTTTCAATATAAAGTTGTGAAGATTCTTTAATTTATTATTAGTTCTACATCATAAACTGAGTTTACTTAAATAACCGTTAAAAACTAAGTAGCACTGGACAGCTGTATCATCCTAGTATGGGACACATTAGCAGTGTGCACGCACAACATCACATGTAAAGTTAAAAACAGGAATGTAAAGCTGAAAACCATACGAGGACATTATTAAGAACTGAAAGACCATAAACTAAGCGATTTGATAACAACGTACTGATTTACATGGAAAAAAACAAACAAACAAATCATTTGGGGAGTTATTTTATAACAACTAACTACTACTAATGGGAATCCAGACACGAAGATGACATCATTATGTACACGCTTGGCTCTGTTGGGGTATCCATAATGATGTAAGCAAAGATTATGGTGGCCAGTAGTGGAATTCAAGACGTGCATTTCGTTGTATTTGTGATTTAATGGCAATATCGAGTCGATACACACAGTATGAACATATACCAAAAAAGAGAGGCTGATAAAGTGAAGACCTAATGATCGATGGGAAGATTTGAACAACCGATACAAATCAGTAATAAGAATAATAGTTGATAACCTACTACATACAACAGTGTATAACTGCTTGAAAAAAAGAGGTATTTGCTACTTCAGGTAGTGAGTTATGCAATCTGTACATTATAAATGATACATAGACTGATACAAACATCTGTGTATTGATCGAAATCCCCATGCAATTATTCAATACAACGAAATACAATTAACATGATCAATTGCAAGGGCGAGAAATACTAAGCTTCAAGAACAATGACTTTAAAAAAAGACAGAAAGGGAAGGTATATTCTATGAAGGACTACTGGAGTACAATGTCTAGGATATATAGATTTGAATTATAGTAAACGAATCTCAATCATATCACCTAACAAAATGATATATTCAATTCAATTACACGTTTTCTATATTTAAATATGCTTCAAATACACACAGATTGCTCCCAAATGCCCTGGTACAGTCGAGGGTAAGGGTAATTAACTCTCTCTCTCCAAATACTCTTGCGTTGCCATGCGTATACAACCATTACCAGGGAAGTAATACTCACTGCCTTCTCGCACAACCGGTGTTGTTTAATGAAATTGAGAGGCGGAAAGTGAATGCTCGGTCGGGGCCTAAACCGAGTTGATGAACATAATGGATGATACACCTAGGTGAATTGGAAAAGTCTCATTCCACACCAATGGTGCACATGGGCTCCAGGATCATGGGGGAACAAATGGTGTATGAACCAATTGTTGGTGACTGACTACCATGGGACTGCATGTCCTAACATTGCTTCACTGGTTTGTGGATTACACGTTGAGGTTGAAGGCTCGGGGTGTGGCCCACAAAGAAAATCATCTGCTTCGGCTTGGGCATCCGGGCAGTATTCCAGTCCTTACACAAAAAGAATGATTAAGTGTGGCACATATATATGGTGCCTCCTTGTACCAATGTTTATGTGTTTATATAAATAATAAATAAATACATAAAGATAGACATAAATATACAACAGTTACTCACCTTTATTCAATTCATCTTCATTATCAAATTTCTTTACAGTCAAGTCATAATCAATGATGAGTTGTTGTTCTTGTTCACATGATGATGTAGAAGATTGTTGACTAAGAATAACATCGGCAGATTTACGTCGTGTAGAAGAACAAATAGAAGATGAAGACAATAATGTATCATTATTTCTTGGTTCAGGTGTTAAATCTAATCGTTGTATGTGATTATTATTTTGAAGAATTGGTTTCTTTTGTTGTTTAGATTTATCAGTAGTATTAATAGTAGTTAAATAAGTAATAGCATCTATTAAAGTTGGTTCATTTATTGCACTGAAATCGATATTTGTGTTAGGATTCTTTGCAATCATTGGTAAACCATCGATAAGCCATTTCCAATGTCGAAATAAATGTTCAAGAACCTATTGTAAGTTAAAAATATGATAGAAATAATTGATAACATAAAACCAACAAGATGAATAGCAGAAGTGTTAAAGTAATGGAAGTAGTAGTAGCTCCTCCGGGGGCTAATGCCGGTCCCAAACCCGGGTAAAGGAGGAGGGTTGGGCATGGGGTTAGCGACCACATCCCGCAGGAAACCAACTCACTAAAAAAAACGTTAACCAGTAGTAGTGTTGTGAAAGAACACTCAAACTGGGACAACCAATGTTTTTTAAAAATACAGAACCACAGAATATCTTGGTAAAATGTGAGAACCATGTTTCGTTTGCAAATTTCCATCATTCATACTTCACGTTCCGTATAATTATTCCAGTTGAAAATTCCTCTCTATTTTCCCTTTTTCATTTTCTTCAACTAGACCTCCTTAGCCTTCTGCTGACAGGTTTTCCACTTCCGACCGGTGTTACATACTATTTATCCAGTCGACAAAAGTAACAGGCCTCTTGTGGATTGTTTTGCTTGTCATGCCACTTTCTTCTTTTTGTCGCCTTCTGTGCCACGCTCACTGTCAAAATGTTGAGTCTGAGATGCAGCGTCTGCCGATATAGGCAGCATACACCACAGTAGTAGTGATAATGAGAAAGCTTGAATATTGAGAATATGGTCCGAAACAACAATAAACCCCCTTGTGATAATGATCATATGCTCACTAGTGATTGGCTCCTTGAGGTAATTCCTGGAGTTCTAGTGAGAAGTCGTGGCCAGTGGAGCTAATCTATGTCAGGTAGAGACAGGTATCTACCTCAGTACATTGGAAGTTGGTTGCGCAATTTCGTGGATTGGTTGAGGTTAGACATTAACACCGTTGGATGCCAGCTCAGTGGTCTATCGGTTAAGGGCTCTGGCTCGAGACTGGTAGGTCCGGGGTTTGAATCTCGCGAGGGCGGGTTCGTGGATGCGCACTGCTGAGGAGTCCCATAATAGGACGAAACGGCCGTCCAGTGCTTCCAGGTTTTCCACGGTGGTCTAGCTTCAATTGACTTATGATCTTAACTATAAAATGAAAACGTATATGGAAGAGAATAATGGAACATGAGATACGTAGTATGACTACCTCAACGAAAGGTGACGATTGATAAAGAAGTGGGTTCGAAGAAAACCAAGGGTGGCGAAACCAAGACAAGACATCAGTCTATGAAAAAATTGACAATTGTGGTGAGCTATGAAGGTAGATGTAGACTTCCTGGTTGGGGTCACCGTAATCAATGGTTAGAGACTTTGGATGATAAGGATCAGAATCAATCATAGTGTATCAGGTGTATTCACTCTTTGTCTTTCCCTAGATCACAAATCTTTAAATTCCTCATAACTGTTTCTATTTTTATTTCTTATAATTAAATTTTCTCAAGTTGTATCTTAGATGTTTAACATGTCCTATACTTATACTACTCTAGGATTAATCCTAACAGTTCCACCTCATTGTGGACCGATTTACTCACGTGCCAGGCTCTAAATTGCGTCTGAATGACTGGTAAAGATAAAGAGGGAATAAATCTGGTTCGTTGTGAAAGATTTTGAGTCATATAATCTATCTATCTCCAACCACTGACAGCGGTTATTGCACAAACCATAAAACGGGTAATCTACATTTACCTACATAGCTTTGACCCGCATCCAAAAACTTCCTAGATCGATGAATGGAAATGAAAGCCGTACCGTATTAAAATAAGGTACAACTTAGTGATGACATCTTTTAGAATATTCAATAGATGATGGAATCCAATATTTAAAAACGTATTAAACAATATGTGGACAAAACTTCATAAGTATATTTTGAACCAAAATAATACAACTTGACTATACATTACTGCTACTAAATGGACAGCAAACTGGCAAGAAATATGGGTAAAACAAAATTTTGCTACTGACCAACCACCTCTAACAACCTAACAACTTGATGTACTACGCATGATGTCAATTCACTTAGACTAAAAAAAGTACTGAGATTTGATCAGCATCAAATGACTAAATACATATAAAATAAATCACACCTCACTCAGGAATGAATCAGTGTAGCGGTTAAATCAGATGCTAAATGTTAGATTATCAATTAAGTCTGAACTACACATCAATTGCAATACTAAACAAAGTGAAATATGTAGTTGGTGTGGTTAACACTGAAAAGAATTGTATACAATAACATAAAGTCATTGAATTCCATGACCTACACAATGAATGAATAACTTATATATATATGTTTATAATGCCTAGAAAAATTTCCAAACGTTAACATTATTAAAACTACTTAAAAAGAAAGCTCAGTAGTAAATACATACCTCATTTAATTTTGGAAGTTTTGATGAATTTCCAAAAAAAACAGGACCAAAACATATAGCTATACATTGATATGTCACTGCATTATGCTGTTCATGTGCTACAACTCTTGTTATATGATTCATGATAAAGCACAATGTAGCCCAACGCCAAACACGAAATGATTGTTTAGAGATGTTAAACTCCTTTTCGTTAAGATTACTGATCTTCGTTAAACCGAATTCCTCTTTGAGTTGTAACTGGGATGTATTCGATGGAACAACAATAATTTGAGGAGATATAGGTGGAGATATAGACGGTTTGAATAGATGGTCACTGATGGAATTCACTCCGCTAAATTGACATTCAATAGAGCCATTTGTCGGAGAATTATTTTGTACATCTACAGGCATTGTGTTTATAATTGGAATACCAAAAGCCTAAAAGGAAATGCATAGAAAAATAAAAAACCATAATCATTTATTTTTTTTTGAATGCTACTATATATCCTATTATAATAAAATATTCTCAGCACAAAATGTGCTAAATAGCAACGAAATCCCCGTACCATGTGGGGCGCCCAGACGAAAACGTGGCATAAATCCATGAAATCACTGAGAAGTGAACTGAGCAATGTTGGTTGGCTTAGACCACAGGGTTGGGATTCATAAGATGATAGCAATCGATGGTTAGAGACCTAGAATGACATGGCTCAAAATCGTTTGCAATGACGAAGGTGCATCCACTCATTGTGTTCTACCAAATTCTAATCTTCTGAATTCCTCATGCCTCTATCTTTTTCTGTTTGCAAATCTATTTCACTGAATTATACTCCTTGAATAACAACTTTAAACCCTAATCTTTCACATTAATGCTTATACTCTTACTACTTCTACCACTATGGGATTTGAATCGACAACTGGATCTCTGTGTTAATGTGGTATGACAACTTGAACTGATGTACGTACGTACGAAGTTCTACGTTGTGACGGACTGACTCACTGACCATGTGGATTTAACTTGTGAATATTAAAAAAACACTAAATGTATATGTTACATTCAAAGGAAGAATAAAGGTTCTATTTGACCTATTGGTTATTATTATTATACGGTTTACTATTCTTAAGTTATTCACAATTTATTAGCCACAGTCTCTCACAATCACAGCCACTTTTGGTTTAATCTTGTATAATTGTTATTTATTTAATGGTATGATGGTTGTATATAAACCAAGTATGTCCGAAATATACTATTCATACAATGGAAGCTGAGATTATGTTCTGAACTTTAACAGATAGGGTTAGGCGAGAAGGACCAATAAGGACTCAGAGTTGACTAGAGGTTATTCGTACTGGTTAACGAGTCATTGATTTGGCACCCTGCCAAAGTTATATAACTCAATGTTCTAATTGGCAATCTTATCATGTGATAACAAACAGGTCAAAAGTCACAATAGCATAATATCTTCAAAACAGTGGTCAGTAACTGTTGGGGATGTCAAATCCCCAGAACTTACTTGGTAAATGGCTTAATCTTGTAGTTTTATTTTGAAAATTTGAATTTAGCTGTTTTCGCGCCAAAAGCGCTCTTTTTACCTTCACGTCATATTTCCCACCTGTAAACTATCTTAAACGCTATTGGTCCATTGTTTCTTTATGTGTGCTATTTACTAATGATGCTCAAGGACAATTTGTTACTGTATAAATGCGCTTGACTTTTCCCCTTATTCGATTGCTTGTACTCGGCTGCTTACGGAATACATATATATTCCCCTACTTGCCTTGGACTTCTTCATCTAGTTAGCGGGGCCTGGGACAACCGATTAGAATAGCTTATCGTGTCATTGTGTCATTGGCTTTCGTTCGTTACCGCGGAATCGATTTAGTTTTAAGCATAACAGTAACATATGCATATTCATTCGTAAATGGTTACAACTATTCTTGACTTTATGATATCGCTTTCGATAGCCGATCATATTATGTATGAATTATATGGTGATCATCGCTCACATCCCCTTAAACGACAGAGTAGGAGAAGAAGGATGAAGATACACGAACCATGATGGTAGGATTTCTTATGTTTCTTAATAATTACCTCAAAAAAAGACAGTAAGCATTTTATGAAAGTAAAAGATATGCAGACACAATAAGCGGATTAAAACAGATCTAAAGGAATATCAATGTAAACATTGTCCGTTTCCATAGGACACATGGTAGCGTTAGTGGATATTTATTTATTTAAACACATACATATTGGTACAAAAGGGTACCAGATACACATTCGCCACACAAAATAATGAAAATAGGAAGAGAAAGGATGAAAAGATAAGGAGGACTGAAATGTACAACCGGAAGACTCTTTCAGTTAAGGAAGTTAGAACCACTCTTTATGAAGAAAGTAAAAGAAGGTTACAGCTGGCTCGTCACTGGCTTCTATTCTGAGTCATATCTGATAATGTCTCTAGCCACTGTGTTGCAGCATCTCTCGGACCCCAGCCAGGGAGTCTTTAAGGACCAACAGAAGCTGGCCCTTTGCAGCTTTCTCTCATGCCACGACACCATGATATACACTGACCACCTTTCCGCTTTTTCCAACCAGTCCCAGAGTGGATAACACACACAAAATTAGTAACAAGAATACTTTTTTTTAACTTACATCAAATGCCATTTTTTTCAATTGAACACGAATAGAAAGTAACAGATAGGCTAATTGTTTCATATCAGAGGAATTTCCAATCTCTGGAACAAGACAGAAAAGTGGCTCCCAAGAGGCTGGAAGAAAGAATATTTAACAGAAAAAAAAACACAGTTATGTTAAGTTTAAATCATTCAACAATAAACAGTAAATTTGATGAAACTGAGTAAATCAGGAAGGGAATAAGACAGCTCAAGGTTGCGGCCACAAACACTAAAACAAAATGTTCTCTATGAAATATAAATGATTAGTTTTATTGACAAAAATATAAGTAGATAACGAAATTATGGATTACAATTTAGGAAGTGGAGTATAATGGTAAGGGTTAGAGTAAGCACTTAATGGTTAGAATATATATAGGCTAACTGTGAAACTCAATCCCAATCTTAAACCAAAATAAATCACAACTGTAAATTACAAATCATGATTCAAACTAAAAGCGCACATTTAACATTCTGATCTCAATCCTATCTCTAACACTAAAACTTAATCATAAATCATTCATATATTGGCTACTTTTTTTGACTAGTCGAATGGAATCTTCAACTTGTCAAGGTCTCTCGAAGGAACGTTCAAACTCCCCCACACACACACACAAAAAAAGGTTTAGGTGAATTTCAATAGATTTTACAACCAATCTAATTTATACGTAAACTTTCATGCATTTGATATTACTATTATCAAGGTTAGATGGTTCGTCTAGTCAATACTTCTCACAAAAAGATGATCAAAGTAAAAAGCTTATTCGAAATTGATCGTTAAAATAGATGACAACTAGTTTGTAATCACAATAAAATGGAAGAAAGTGTTTTGCCAATATTCTCAGTCAGCTACAACGTGGGACCAGGAACATATATGGATAACCCCAAGTTGCCATACCTCGTTAGCACAACAACATGAACACCGGATTCATAGAAGTAGTTAATTTAGTGATGGTAATATATAAAGAAAGGTTGTATATAAGGATACAGTATAGGAAGAAAGACAGATATGAAGCAATTTTAATCTTAAGGTTCAAGGGAAGATAATTAAAAAAGTGTACACACCTTCGCCATTGTGAACGATTCTGAGTCATGTCACCCACAGTCTCCAACGACTGGTTACGATAGTTACGCCAACCCCAATCAAATAGTCTGCATCTACCAACATGGCTCAGACTAGAAGTTAGTGACTTCATGCTCTGATGCCACGTTTTGGTTTGGCCGCCACTAACTCTCTTCCAACCATCCCCTACACTAGTCAACATTGCGCGTCGTGGTAATCGGTGTTCAGGCATTTGCAACATGTGGCCCAACCATATCAGTCAATGAAGATTTACAACCTCATCAACTGATTTACCATCATCATTCCCTAATACACTGTGTCTAACCTCACTATTACTTACCCGGTGATCCAAGCACATGCGAGCAGTATTTTTAAGACATCTGTGGTCAAATACTAGTACCTTACGAGTATCTCCTACTCTTAATGGCCATGTTTCACAGCCGTAAAGCAAAACAGAGCGAACTGTTGCGCAGTATACTCATCCCTTAATTGACAGGCGGATATCTCGTCTTTACCATAGGTGACGTAAGTTTGTAAAAGCCAAACGAGCTTTTCGAATCCGTGCAGAGATGTCGTCAGACACCAACCAATCAAGGCTGATCAGACTTCACTACTTCACTCCCTATCCATAGTACATAGAAGTAGTTAATTTAGTAGTGGTAAGATTTAAAAGATAGTTTGTATATAAGGATATAGTACAGGAAGGAAAAACGTTATGAAGCAATTTTAATCTCAAGTTTCAAGGGAAGATAAAGTGTATACACCTACGCCATTGTGATCGATTCTAAGCCATGTCTCCAACCATTGGTTACGATAGTCACGCAGACCCCAATCAAATAGTCTGCATCTGCCAGTTAGTTAATTAAGCAGACTAATGCCGGTTCAATTTGATGTGCATTCAAAGTGTCGCATTGCACAAAAACAAAGAACAATGAAATTCACAACTCATAAACTAATCATGGTTAATACGTTCAACTTCTAGCCACTTAGTCTCAAATACAAAATACACTTCCCATACTTCGGTTTAAGCAACCGAACAGTACTACTCAGAATGTGAAACAAAGTCAAAAACATAAATCTGAGCCTGAAGATTCGTAAAACCTACGAGTCGTTCAAGTTCAAAAACTGTGCATCACATAGAACTTTGGCGCCATTTCAGAAAAATATATTTCGTATAAGTTGGGGGAAGAACCAAGAAAGTTTAAAGATATACATTTACACGTCAAAATTTTGTGATGTCACTAACTAACGATATTGGATGATAGTTTTCAGACTAATGGAAGTGATTGATGACACTAAACCTAATTCATATGATCTCATGAAACTATACATTAATGTAGACCTACTTAAATGAAGAGAACAATCAATACAAGACATACTAATCAATCCTGGAAGTCATCTAGCCTTTCGATTTTGATTCAGTTTTCTTTTTACTTACTTGTATATTAACTAAGTATGTAACATAAGAATGTAGAATGATGTGTACATAGCAAATAACTATATATGGTCATATTCTTCAAATAGTAATAATAATAATAATATAGTATAGTAATAATATATAAAATATGTTAAAGAGATTGGTAAACAGACACTTTATACATGTACACATGGGTACAAGTTATTATTACCATTATTATTATTATTATTATTATTATTATTATTATTATTATTATTATTATTATTAGTAGTAGTAGTAGTAGTAGTAGTAGTAGTAGTAGTAGTAGTAGTAGTATTACTTCTAGTAATAGTAGTATTCATTAACTAATAATGATGATACGAATAAGATTAAAGAAGAAAAAAACAGATTAACCCGCATTGTTATCTTAAAGTATAATGACATAATTACATGTCATTAGAATAAGTAATTCAATTAAATAAGATTATGTAATATAAACTACATTAAAACATGTTTTGGTTGTGAAGTAAATTTGTTAGTTATAATCAATGAAGAGATTGGTAACAAAATATTGATTGATTTAAACAATAGGTTGAATATTGAGAATATAGTTCGAGAAGATGGAATAAAATATTATGCTTGAAAGGAGAATGAGAATGAAGATTTAAAGTAAGGTTAAAAGTGAATGTATTTCAACTATTCTTTTTATTGTTTTTGAAACATTTTCATACAGTCTTCAACGACTTAATGATCATAATGACCTAGACTTAGTAAACTGTATCAACAAGCACGCTTCAGTGTTCGTAAGTATGTGATGTGCCATGCATCTTCCAAGTGCAAAGTACTTTCATAAGACTGGCAGGAATCTGAACTTGCAACCAATCCGGGTAGTGATTAGACAGAGGTAGTCGAGAAGTTCGTTTATCTGGGTAGCTGTGTAAGTGCTGGTGATAGCATGAAAGATGAAATCAACACACGTATAGTAAAAGCCAGAGAGACTTATGCCAATCTGTCAACGAAAGGACGAATGTACTATCCGATTTTTTGTTTTATTCGGCTTTGTACCTGTGAAGTCAGTTATGATAATAGAGGACAGTCGTAGGTTATTAGTACTAGATAACAACTGCCTTCAAAGTAGTGTAAGAGTAAATTGAAAAATGAAACGGAGATGAACAAACTGAAACAAGGCATCCGTTCACGAAGTTATAATTAGTAGGACTAGGTTGTGTAAATCGGTGTACATGACTTGATTGAGGCTAGCGCGATTATTTCGACCAACATTTGGATAGATCTTGAGTATCATGACTCAGAATAAGTGTGGTACCGAGATGTCTTGGTACAGTCGATGGTGGGGAGGAGTCAGTTCTCAGTCTCCAAATGCTCTCATATTGCTACGTGTATACAACCACTGTCAAGGAAGTACTACTCGCTGCCTTCTCGCACAACCGGTGTTGTTTAATCAAATTAAGAGTACAAAAAGTGAATGTTCGGTTGGGGGCCTAAACCGAGTTGATGAGCACAACGGATGATACACCTAGAGGAGTTGGAAAACCCTCAATCCAAACCATTGATGAACATGAGCTCTAGGATCCTGAGGGAAAAACTGGCGTATGAACCTATTGTTGGTGACCGACTACCATGGGACTGTATGTCCTAACCTTGCTTCACTATCTTGTGGATTAGACGTTTAGGTTGAATGATCGGTGTGTGACCCAAAAAGAAAATCACCTGCTTCGGTTTGGGCGCTCAAACAGTAACCCACCCCTCATATAAATCATTGATAACTGTTACTGGCCTCATTGTTATTGTATGGAGCATATGTATTTGGTGCCCCCTTATACCAATGTTTATATGTTCAAATAAATAAATAAGAATCAGTCTTAATAGTAGCAATATATTCAATCTTTGTAGTCCTGTTAGACCTTGAGTTTCAGTCAGTCCGTCACAACGTAGAACTTCGTACGTACGTACATCAGTTCGAGTTGCCATACCACATGAGCACAGAGATGAAGCTGTCGATTCAAATCTCATAGTGGTAGAAGTAGTAAGAGTATAAGCATTATTGTGAAAGATTAAGGTTTTAAGATGTTATTCAAGGAGTAAAATAAAGTGAAATAAATTTGGAAAGAGAAAAAAGACAGAGACATGAAGAGTTCAGAGGATCAGAATTTGGGAGAACACAAAGAGTGGATGCACCTTCACCATTGCAAACGATTTTGAGCCATGTCATTCAAGGTCTCTAACTGTCGATTGCCATCATCTCGCGAATCCCAACCAGGTAGTCTACACCTACCAACATTGCTCAGTCCAATTGTCAGTGACTTCATGGATCTGTGTCACATTTTGGTCTGGCCACCCCTAGCTTTTTTCCAACCTACTCCTACACCATAAAACATTGCACGTCAAGGCAGCCGGTGGTTAGGCATACGTAACATATGTTCAAGCGATTTCAACTGATGAAGTTCCACTACATTATTAAACTCAAATCTTGAATTTAATAACTATCTTATGCCTTTTTTTCATTATGCTAACTCACTTTCTCTATTCTCAAATTTATATTGATTGATGCTTAATATTTTTCTATTAATACTTCTATCAATCTAGGTTCTTGTTGCTTTTTGTTTTCTAACTCTATTTAAGTTAATAAAAAAAAGGAAACGAATTAGTTGAATGTTGCCAAGAAAAAAAGTTACTAAAAATAGTAACTAATAAATTTCCAGTAAACAGAATGAAATTTTTCAACAGCAACAACAACAACAAAAACATTGAATTTTTAGTGTTACAAATGATCTTGTTTGTTTGTCTTTAAGTTAAAAAAAAATTACACAATACAAAAACATAATGAACCATGTGATAACAGTTGGTTAGTGATAAGATCACGAGAATTTAGGAAGCTGTATAACAATTATAAACTAGTCCTAAACAAACATGTTAATCTGTTGTTTTTTTTTAAAATTGTTATTCCAAAGCAAATATATTCCAGAGCATAATAGTTCATTTTAACAATATACAAACATGTTAGCCTACAATAGTACATTGGAATATTATCTTGTATACATTTATGATAATCTATTAATTACAAGAAGATATACTTTGAAACAACTGTTGGTGGAATAAAGGATATTCAAACCCTGGCTAAGTCATTAAGAAATTAAGGATTATTGTGTAAAACCGAAGATTCAGAGTGTTCAATTCCTAGTAGAATCCTGAATATACACTGTTGAGGAGTGCTATATAAAAATAAAATACCAGTTCAGTGCTTCATGGTTTACGATGAATATATAACTTGAGTCGAACTACTGGGAAATTCTCTTCTCAGACTACATATAATTCACCTTAAATAAATCATATCACATACCTAACTACAACAATGCTCACTAGTGACTGACTTCAAGATACATGTCCTAGAGTTCTAGTGGGAAGCAGTGACCGGTGGAGTTCAACCGAGTCTATTGTAGAGATATCAACTCACTGAAGACAATCGGTGAACGGCTGCTCAAACTTCGTGGATTGGTTGAAATTAGACATTAGCACCGTTGGATGCCGACCGGCTCAGTGGTCTATCGGTTAAGTGCTCTGGTGCGAGACTGGTAGATCTTGGGTTCTAATTTCGCGAGACGTGATCGCGGATGCGCACTGCTGAGCAGTCCCATAATAGGACGAAACGGCCGTCCAGTGCTTCTGGGTTTTCCTCAGTGGTCTAGCTTCAATTGACTCATGATTTCAACTATGAAAATACTTAAATCTCCACACAAAAAACTTTCTGAATGTATACAAAGTTAAAGTAGATGAAAGACTAAATGACCCATGAAATTCTACACAGTATCCAGACTACAAAAGGATAAAAATATTTGAGGACTTTGCCATACTCACTCTGATGTTCCATTTATTCATTCTTTCATAATCATCGTAAGAGTTGGTACACTTATGAATCAATTTAATTAAGTCATACCATATTAAAACAGTAAAGTGAAATAAGCGAACAAGTCGAAATAATTTACTAGTATTAATGATAGCAGTGAAAACTGAACATATAGAACGTAGTTTGAAAAAAGGATTGAAAGGTATGAAATGATATAAAAACTCACAAGTTAGAAGATGAAGTATGGACGGATATGAGCCATCAGACCTAATTTTGATCTATATAGAGCTGGAATACTTCCCAGTGACACAAATTGAGTCAAACCGCTTTCTTAGCTATAACGACTCCTCTCGACCCTTTAAACTAAAGAGATAGAGCTTTGATAACTAAACGTCGAAAATAGAGTCATACACCATTCAATACCCCAGGATTCTGGAGTACATGTACATTATTGGTTTGGAAGCAGAGTTTCCTAACTCCCCCTATGTGGGCACCTCGTATCCACAACACCAACAAAACAACTGCACGCTTACTTTCGTAAAAATACTATTCACAGCATGAAGGTAATGGGAACTTCTTTAGGTGTGGCTATAACAAAGTAGCTTTTACCAGCCTTCGGTCGGTAGGAACAGGTAAAAAAAATTCAAAAACGAAATATCAATTTAATTCCACACAAAAAAATCAAAATGATCATACTCACATAAAGAAAATAATCCAACAGGTAGTCGTCGAAGAAAGTGTTTAAATAAACCGCATAATGCATTAGGTTCACGCCAAGCATCCAAACTAAACATCAGGTCAATATCTTCAGGATGCTTTATTGAAAAGATGAAAAATGGAAATTTTTTGATGTAACAGCAGACATGTATAATGAAGTAATATATGAACTAGAAAAAAAAGGGCTACTAGTGGTATGTTATTACAAAAACAGGAATGAATTCATTCTTAATAAACTAGAATGTTTTGAAAATAATCAACAAAACCTCATTGGTATTATGTCCAATAAATATGTACAAGTATTTGATCATAAAAACAGCTTTAGTATATGAATCGGAATCTTTATATGTTTTATGATTCGAACAGAAAGAATAACAACAATAATTCATCATAGAAATTCCGTATGATATTGACTATCTTCTCAGGTACGCCGTAGTGTCGAAGAAACCTCCATAGTGTTGTCCTGTGCACTCTATCAAATGCTTTCTCGTAGTCAATCAAGTAAATCATCTAAACAACGGTTTAATTACTTGAAATCTTTAGAGAATTGAGAGACGGAAAAATATTTGAGGTTTCTTTCAATAAACTAGGAAATGGATGACTATAGGAGAAATCAACTCTGCCAGTATGAAGTTATGGAAGTGATAAGATGAAAAGCAAACTTAGGCACCTCGAGCACACGTGCACCGATGGTTAGCAATCAGAATCCCCTGACCCCCCCCCCCGTGGGTAGATCCTCCGTACACACCAACCCCATCTAAACTTCCGTGGGACATTCTCTTTTCGTCCTCTCAATCAGGTAAACAACACCGCAGTAACGAAAAGGCAGTGAATGGGACTTTCATGGAAGTGTCTACATGCACATGACATTCGAAGAAAGAGAGCGGACTATTCCCAACCTAAATTGTACCAGGGCATTTGGGGGTACAATTTATCCCGATAAATTTCTCTATAGATATTAGCGACTGTCATATATGATATTTAAAATCACTCTAACAATCTTTCCATATATATCAAACGTTCATCATTCTATAATATTCATACTAATAAATGACAATCTCCGTTAGTCAAATCCTAATTCCTAAAATATTCTGATTATCATTATTGACCTAGATGACATTTTCTCTCATTTCATATATGATAATAAGAACGTAACTGATCGGAGTAGTGTAGCGTAGACAAAATGCGAACGAAAGAAAAACAAAGAGGTAGACAACGTCTATACATTGTAAAATGTATCAGAAAAGAGAAGTATATATGGTTCCTGTAATTAAAATTGCTTCAGCGAATTCGAACTTGTCATTCTCCCTTCCAGAATCATAACAGATTCATTTCGTTAGAAGAAGAAGAAGAATGATTCAATTTAAAAGTGACATATAGAAATTATAATAATTAGGATGATACGTACCAAGTTTACTGAAGAGATAAATTGTGCAATTGTACGATGTCGACCAGGTTTTCTATATAGGCCAGGTAAACTAAGTCCATGTATCTCTAAGGCTACAACAATGGCTTGTAATAGGACTGGAACACACTAAAAATATGAAGAAACAACAAACAATGTTAATTATGTTTTCTTGGCATTTCATTACTCTATAATACTTACTATGATATTGAAACAACAGTGCAACATATCTATTGATAAAGTTGAAATATTGGAATTATCGACTATTGTTTGTTCGTATCGACATTCCCATCGACTGATGGTGCATATATTTATTTATTTATTTATTATTTAAACACAAATATTGGCACAAAAGGGCACCAGATATATATCCGCCACACTTTTGTGTGAGAGCTGTGATACTGCACAGGTGCCCAGACTGAAGCAGGTGGTTTTCTTAGGGGGCCACAGCCCGAGCCTTTGACCTAAAAGTCTAGTCCACAAGGCAATGGTGCATCATGAGATGTCGTCTCATGGTAGCCGGTGACCAACGATTGGTTCATACTCCATCTGATCCTTCAGGATACTGGATTCCATGATTACCATTGGTTTGGAATCAGGGTTTTCCAACTCCCCTAGGTGGACCCTCCGTATCCACCAACCCGGTTGAAGCGCCGGACATTCGCTTTTGGTCCTCTCAATTTCGTAAACAATGGTAATGCCACGATAAGGCAGAGGCTATATACGCATCGTACCACATCGTACCAATAAAATAGAAAATAACATTTGTACAAGATTCAGTCAAATGTGGCTGTGAATAGGGGGAACAGTAATTAATAGACTTTGTATAACTCAGGAATGGTAAATCGTATAATAATAATATAATAGTCAATTCTTCTTCTCGAATGCTTACCGAAGATCATATATCTGTAGCTATTACTAGGGAAGTTCTACTCTATGCCTTTAAGTGGAAGTTATGTTTTTAAAAAAAGCAGAAGTACGCACAACGGACTGCAGCGTCTAAACAAGACTGGCGGTAGAAAGGATCCGTCCAGAGGAGTTAGGAGACCCTTGTTTTAAATCAATGAGATACATAACAATGAAAGAACAATTGATATATGAATCCATTTTAGTCACTGGTAAGCATAGAACTGTATCTCTTAATGCTGTTATACTGACTTTTGGATCCGACTTTTCGGTGAAAGGTAGTGTCTAACCACACGCACAAACTTATTAATAATGATTGCTAATAAGGAAACTTACTGGATAATCAGGACTTTCTAATTGAGATTCTAATGGAGCACCGAATACAGGACCAGGATTATCTAAATCGGTCATGTTTGGAGGATCAACAACTAAAAAAAACATCCACAAAAAAACGTTGTCACTCATGGAAACAAAGAAAAAAAAAGAACGACTAATCACATAAAATCATGAGGTTATATCGAGGTGAAAAAAAAACACAAATACAATTATAATATATCATGCTGCGATATGATGATGTACAAATGAATTAGAACATCAATAACTTGTATAACGAGGATTAGATCGAAAATTTCCCACATGACAAGAAAGCCAAAAAAATAGATCCACAAATATGGTGAATAATAGTTAAAGAACTACAGATTAAGAAGATTCATGTTGATATCCATACTTAACTATTGTTGGACTTTATTGTAAACCTGTAATTGAATGACAATATCTAGTCGACTTGTTGAAGATAGATATATATCAACATAGATTTACCAATTAGTTATAAGTGATAATAGCGACAGAGAATTGAAAGCTTAGGATAACTTTATAGAGTTGAGATCATGAGTCAGTTGAATCTAGACCGCCATGAAAAACCTGGAAGCACTGGACGGCCGTCTCGTCCTATTATGGGACTCCTCAGCAGTACGCAGCTCTGAATAACTTTTTCATATTTGTTGAACAAATTACTGTGAAGCACTCGGTAGTTTGATAGATAATATATTTGTGCTTAAGGGGTAAACTGTTGAGCATGAGTCTTAATGTAAACACCTACAATAATACAAATGCATATAGTTGACGAAACCCGTTAAGAAGAAACGTGCGAACTTGTTTGCACTATTAGCTACACATGAAATATATTGAACCTATTTTGCTTAAGTGGTCTGAGACCCCCTAATGCCCTGGTACGGCCGAGAGTGGGAAGAGTCTGCTCTCCACCTCCTGATCCTCACACATGGCCACGCGTATATAGACTCTACCAGGGAGTCCTACTCACTGCATCCCCTCACGATGCTCCACTGCCTTGTGGATCAGACATTCAGGTCAAAGGCTCGGCGTGTGGCCCCCTAGGAAAACCACCTGCTTCAGTCTGGGCAACTGAGCAGTATCACAGCCCTCACACAAATCGAATGAGATTTGTGAGGCGCATATTTATATGGTGCTTCCTTGTACCAATATTTATGTGTTTAAATAAATAAATAAATAAGTATACGAATACGGTAGCAGATTGAATATACAAATCCAAAAATTTAAAATTCAACACAACCATAAAACTATTGAACAGAAAATCCATGTAGTCAAATTTGATAAACCTGTGATATAGAAAGCAACATTAAATCAATAACAACGGGAAATTACATTCATCCTCATCACATGGTCGACTTAATGATTTAAAACTTTCAACCAAAAGCATTATCAGTATAGAGTTGTGGAGATTGTTGGCTATTGATTGAGAACATGAATCGATTAATGTTAGACCACCATTGAGAACTTAAAAGCACTGGATGGCCCTAGTATTGGACTTTTCAGCAGTGCGCATCTACCATCCCACAAGTGGGATTGAGACTCAGGACTCTCGGTTTCGCGCGTGAACGCTTAACCTCTACGCCAATGAGTCGGGGTTCAATAGCTATTCAGGGCTTCCAGGTTCTCAATGGTGGCCTACCATTGATCGATTCATGATCCCAATCAATTAACAACCGTTAAACGTTAATTAATTTTTAAACTTTCATTTCGTTCTCTATCATATATGGTTTGATTATATGTGAAATGTGATTCTTAATTTTAAGTGTACCTTAGTTCGATAAATTATGTATATAAACCTATGAGTGCATGAAAAAAATATATTAAGAGCTTATCTACTACTGAGGAGAGAAAAAGCCGTGTTCCAAACCAATAGAAGTTATCTCGGCAGGGTGTCATTGGTGAAAAATTAGTACGTTAGACCATATACAAAGTAGTATACTCAGGATTCTGATTGGTGAAGCTTTTCTCAGTAATATCAATTAAGCCTCTATATCATCACGCATGGATAAGTAGTAGGAACTTGTAATATTGATAAAAAAGCTTATCAACTGGTCACACACACACACATACACACGCATACACTGCAAATTCTACAGTCAAAGAAAAACTACGAATTATTTATCCAGCCAAGAAAAAAATTGCCTTCTGTTTAGCGATAATGACAAAATGAAGTATAAAGAGACAAAGAATCAGTTATGCATTCATCAGTGAAACAAGTTACACACAGATACATGTATGAAGAAAAAGATGGTCTAGTGTCATAACTTATCTGTTCTTTTCCATACACAAAAAAAGTATATATAAACAGAACATATGTGTACTGAGAAAAAAAAAGAAATCTATCCATTGGAACTAATAAATATTGATTAAATACTCAATCAGCTTTTGATTGAAATAAGTATCCTTCAGTCAGTCAGTCAGCTACAACGTGGGACCAGGAACATATATGCATAACCCCAAGTTGCCATACCTCGTTAGCACAACAACATGAACACCGGATTCATAGAAGTAGTTAATTTAGTGATGGTAATATATAAAGAAAGGTTGTATATAAGGATACAGTATAGGAAGAAAGACAGAAATGAAGCAATTTTAATCTTAAGGTTTAAGGGAAGATAATAAAAAAAGTGTACACACCTCCGCCATCGTGAACGATTCTGAGTCATGTCACCCACAGTCTCCAACGACTGGTTACGATAGTTACGCCAACCCCAATCAAATAGTCTGCATCTACCAACATGGCTCAGACTAGAAATTAGTGACTTCATGCTCTGATGCCACGTTTTGGTTTGGCCGCCACTAACTCTCTTCCAAACATCCCCTACACTAGTCAACATTGCGCGTCGTGGTAATCGGTGTTCAGGCATTTGCAACATGTGGTCCAACCATATCAGTCAATGAAGATTTACAACCTCATCAACTGATTTACCATCATCATTCCCTAATACACTGTGTCTAACCTCACTATTACTTACCCGGTGATCCAAGCACATGCGAGCAGTATTTTTAAGACATCTGTGGTCAAATACTAGTACCTTACGAGTATCTTCTACTCTTAATGGCCATGTTTCACAGCCGTAAAGCAAAACAGAGCAAACTGTTGCGCAGTATACTCATCCCTTAATTGACAGGCGGATATCTCGTCTTTACCATAGGTGACGTAAGTTTGTAAAAGCCAAACGAGCTTTTCGAATCCGTGCAGAGATGTCGTCAGACACCAACCAATCAAGGCTGATCAGACTTCACTACTTCACTCCCTATCCTTAGTACATAGAAGTAGTTAATTTAGTAGTGGTAAGATTTAAAAGATAGTTTGTATATAAGGATATAGTACAGGAAGGAAAAAAGTTATGAAGCAATTTTAATCTTAAGTTTCAAGGGAAGATAAAGTGTATACACCTACGCCATTGTGATCGATTCTAAGCCATGTCTCCAACCATTGGTTACGATAGTCACGTAGACCCCAATCAAATAGTCTGCATCTGCCAGTTAGTTAATTAAGCAGACTAATTCCGGTACCTTACGAGTATCTTCTACTCTTAATGGCCATGTTTCACAGCCGTAAAATAGAACAGAGCGAGCTGCTGCGCAGTATACTCTTCCCTCAATTGATAGACGGATATCTCGTCTTGGCCATAAGTGACGTAAGTTGACTACAGAACTGTTGTTTGTTTTTTTTGAAAGTGGGACATGATAGTGGCAAATTTAGCGATAGTGAGGAAAACTGCAGAAACAAATGAACTCAGAACTGCCTCTCTTTTCTAATGTGGTATGGCAACTCGAACTGATGTACGTATGTATGAAGTTCTACGTTGTAACCGACTGACTCAATTTTCTATTTATAGAGCAATAAAATAAACATGATTAACTAATATTGAACAATGTCGAGTGGACTAATGACATAAAAAGAGTGCTTAGTTAATTTCAAGTATTTACACGCAAAATGTGTTATGCATTTATGAGGGTTGGTAAAAATTAATACAGTAAAAATCAGTCAGTCAAACGCAATGTAAATCAGTAAAAGAACTCAAATATCCCAGTGAGATAAAGTTATTAGCGCGAATCTCGGAGTCATAGAGGTAAGAACAGCATTATTGATAATAGAAAAAATTAGGTATCAAAGATAAGATTCGGGAAGAAAATATAAGATCTGTAGGATTATGCTCCTGTTACTGTGAACGATTTTGAGCCATGTCATTCCAAGTAGCAAACTACTGGCTATGACCAGGTAGTCTGTGGTAATAAATGTTTTTCAGTAAAGTCAGTTGTAATTAATGAAGAACTTGGTACAAAGATGTGTCAGTCTAACTCACTCATCCAACCACGAAACATCATTCACCTGAAAATGGTAAAGGAGTTGAAAAAACTAATATTAACAATGATCGTAGGACAGACAGACGTTGAGAACATATTTCGAAAAGATATATATGAACTAACATTACAACTCAAGGATCTAGAAGACGATGAAGACTGAATGCATCTACGACTTTGTGACAAAATGCAAGCCAAGTCACCAAGCGCTTTAAACCAGCCAGTAGTCTGTAGCTATCAATATTGGACTCAAACGAAAATTTAGGAACTTTAAAAATGATACCACTCTTTGATTTGACAGTTCATATTTTGCTTCTAACTCATAATTACACCAGTTAAAATATCGCCTGTCAAGGTACGGTGTGGTCAAATTGGATTCGGAGGAGGAATAAATGAAACACTTGATAATCACATCCATTAATTATTAGGCATGAAGAAAAAACAGGAACAAGGTTGAGCCTTTAGAACCAAGGTAGATCAAGAGATATTGGTCAAATAAGTCGTGATTTATTTTTTATTATTATTTGGTAGATGCAGACTACCTGGTTGGGGTCCGCGTGACTATCGTAACCAATGGTTAGAGACTCTGGGTGACATGACTCGGAATCGATCACAATGGCGAAGGTGTATACACTCTTTATCTTCCCTTAAAACTTGAGATTAAAATTGCTTCATAACTTTTTTCCTTCCTATACAATATCCTTATATACAACCTTTCTTTATATACTACACCACTAAATTAATTACTTCTATGAATCCGGTGTTCATGTTGTTGTGCTAACGAGGTATGGCAACTTGGGGTTATGCATATATGTTCCTGGTCCTACGTTGTCGCTGACTGACTGACTATTATTTATTTAAATACAAATATTGGTACAAGGGAGCACCAGATATATGTGTGCCATAAAAATCTCATTTTATTTGTGTAAGGGCTGTGATACTGCCCGGGTGCCCAAACTGAAGCAGGTGGTTTTCTTAGGGGGCTACACCCGGAGCCTTTGACCTAAAGGTCTGATAAACAAGGCAGTGGAGCATCGCGGGGAGATGCAAATAAGTCGTGAATATCAGATAAATTCACAATAGCTATTTAAATAAAACACTGGATCATTAGATTTTACAATTAAACAATAAAGCAATACCCATTATAATATGACTAATATGATATTATGCATTATATTTTGTCTGTATGAGGCTATCACGTGTAGTGTATAGTACAGTTATTATCACATTGAATCAAAATATTTACAACCAGGTAACATAATTGGTACAATAATAAAAGATCAGAGACATAAAATATATCAATGCGACTCAGAAACACACAACACAACCAAGTGCAGACAAAATTGACCTTTCAAAATAACAATGTTTATTTATATAAACACATCAACACTGATACATGGAGACACTAAATATATATGCACAATACAAATCATTCGATTTCTGTAAGAGCTAGAATACTTTCCGAGTGCCCAAACTAGATCGGGTGGTTTTCTTAAAGGGGCATTCCTCGAGCCATTTACTCAAAGGTCTAATCCACAAGACAGTGGAACTACACCTGTCAACTCGGTTTAAGCCCCGACCGGACATTCTCTTCTCGTCCTCTCGATTTCTTAAACAACACCTGTGGTGAGAGAAGTCAGTGAGTAGTACTTCCTAGACAGTGTCTGTACACGCGTGGTTATATGAGAGCATTCGGAGAGAGAGAACTGACTCTCCCCACAGATTAACAAATTCGATTTTTGTAGTTTCCAGTTCTAATAAGAGGTTGTGACTAGCCAAGTTCAACCATGTTGGGTAGGAGGCAGTTATTTCGTCTTACACAGCACAACGGAGATGGTTATGTGATATTGCGAACTACCTGAAGTTAGACATGTACACTATTGCATAGTCTAGAGGCTTAGCATTTGGATGAGTTACCTGGGTTCGATTAGTGCTTGTGTGACTGTACATGTGCACTGATGAAAAGTACAATAGTACAATGAAACAGCTATGGAGTGTTTCCTGGCTTTCAGTAGTGATCTAACTATAGTAAGCAAAATGGGAGGTTTAATAAAATTATTATAAATAAAATCACCGTTCTTATGTGTGTGTACATAAAGACGTGCATATATGTACACACACACACAACATATACACCTGCATACATACGCACACATACCTGTCATTAGTGAGCTGAATTTATGTTCATTATTCGGAGATTCCAAATGTGAAACATCCACAGTAGAAGATATATCACAATGGTTATTACTATTTACATTATAATTTACACTGCTGTTGGCGGTACCTCTACAGCTACCACTAAAATAACCAGTGGTAGAGTTGACGTTGTTCATTGTATTGGTCGGATTATTTGCAGTTGAGAAATTAATTGAACCAACAGAGGGACAATTAGTACTAGTACTATTACTTGTACTACTGGCATTATTATGATTACTATTATTATTATTATTTGCACCAACAGGACGTTGAAGCCATTGTTTGAAGCCACGTAGTATTTTATTCGTACGAATTAAACTAATTGAATGTGACTTATCGTCAACGTTGCTGTTAATATTACTAGTAATTACATCGGACGTTGTCTGATTATCACTATTATTATTAATGGAGATATCGTTTGTCATTGTCTCAGTGTTGTCCGATCGAATACCATCTACAGATAAGAAAGGTCGAGAATTATTCGAGGAAGTGTTAAAAATATCAGTACAAATGAGATTTTTAAAAATACCAAAGTAAAAATAGATATAAGCTAACTAGAATACTATTGCAAAGAATTACTTTGGACTCAAGCAATACACGATGGTGTTTGGTGCCCTCAAATCCCCAGGTACGGTAGAGGGTGGGAGGAGTTAGCTCTCCCTCTCTAAATGCTCTCATATAACCACGCGTGTACAGACACTGTCTAAGAAGTACTACTCACTGACTTCTCTCACCACAGGTGTTGTTTAAGAAATCGAGAGGACGAGAAGAGAATGTCCGGTCGGGGCTTAAACCGAGTTGACAGGTGTGAAGGTGGATACACCTAGGAGAGTTAGAAAACCCTCATTCAAAATCAATGGTGTAGATTGACTCCTTGATCCTGAGAGAACGAATGGTGTTCAAACTTATTGTTGGTGACGGGCTACCATCGGAATGCATCACCTAACGTTGTAGTTCCACTGTCTTGTGGATTAGACCTCTGAGTGAAAAGCTCGGGGAACGCTTTCGTTCACTATGGTCTTATGAACTGGTAAGTTGATCGTTCAATAGTTTTGTGACCTAATCACACAATAATATCTGTTTTCACAACAACAACAAACTTAGAATCGATAATAAAATTACCAACCTAAATCAATTTTCTGTCGAGTTCGTGTCCGAAATTTATTGGTAACATCAGATTTATTACTTTTTATTGAATTCTTAATTGAATTCACATCTTCACCGTCAATTATAGCATTTGAATAATCTGAACCAATTGATGATTGATGAATAACATAACGTCGATTTGGACGTCGTTTATCTTTCATTAAACCATATGATCCATAGGTAGTGTTAATGTAAGGACTATTAGTATTTATAAGATTTGTAATATGTGGTTGAATAAAAACATCTCTATGCATGGATTGATCAAAATCATCAGTGTTATTATCACCGGTGTATTCATTATTCACATCATCATCATCATCGTTGTTTGCTAGAGGAGGTACACGATATTTACTACTTTTTATTGTAAAATCATGAGAAAAACTTTGATTTAATTTCATTGAGAATTCAGATAATGATGACGATGGTAATTTGAGAAAAAATAATTCATATGGATTTGATGAAGATTTTTTACGATGTGTTGTCAATGTAGCTTGTGGAGAAAGAAAGAAAGAATATTGGCATATAATTCCCATTTAACATTAAGATTAAAAACACGAAGAAAGAATAGACAACATTCAGATTATTAAATGATCAGTAGTATAATGGGATCAGTCTGTAGAGATCATTGAATTTTCATAGTTTACATAATGTAGATTGATCTTAGTCAGATAACCTGGTAAACTGGGAAGTTCTCGCTGGAAAAACTTACATTGACTCCTGGTCTTTGAATCCCCTGTAAGATCGTAGATACTCAAAGGGAGTCTTATACTAAAACGTAAAAGGTTTCCAATACTTTCTTGTTTTTAACAGTTGTCCAACTAAAGGTCAGTCCGCCACGCGGGTTATAAAATTTAAAGTTAAAAAGAAGAGGATTAAGTGGGACAACGAATTAGTCCTTTGAAAGAATTAATATTTACAGATAGGTAGGTAAACATGGGCTAAGATTCATTAAAAAAAATTTGCACTTGGTACTATTTATGGCATTTCTAGTAATTATTATTAATTACCAAAAAATAAAGATCGGTTTTATATGGAGATAGGATCAAGATGAAGATGAACTACCAAATAATATAACTGGAAACCCACAAGCACTAGATAAGAACACTTCAGTAGTGTGCACTGAAGATGAATCACATGAGATCCAATCGCGAAACTTTGTGTTACAAACATTAAGGTCCCTAAATTCAAGCAGCTAAGTTGGCTGAGATGTTAGTAAGAACCTCCGTTGCTAAGGTTCTTTCGATAACCAAAAATAAATCATTATGACTAAGATTATATATAGTATCTAAAAGATAAGCCTCCAAAACTATTCGGCATCCAGAAGCTGGGGAGAAGCAATTCAGTTTGATGCATGGTTGTAGACGTCAAAAACTGCTTCAAGACTAGTTTGCGTCAAGTCATGAAGTGAAACATAGGGAGCGAAGTAGTTAGGACGATCATAAGTCTCTCACTATACTACTCAGTGGCCATAAACATGGTCTATGGAAATAAATTTCATATGTAGTCTATGAGTTTTTAATCATAAAAGTCTTCGAACTATAGCACAGGTATTGTACAACAACAAAGGGAGCAATAGTAAGACTAGAATTATGGCACTAGATAAAGATGACAAGTCGGTCAAGATTTTTGCGAATTATCACTAACTGATATATAAATAAGATGGAAGATAGCTAAAGGTGCCCAAACCAAGGCATGACATAAGTTCGCGAAGTCGCTGACTACCGTGTCGGTCAAGTGCAGATTACCTTGTTAAAATCAACATAATAACATCGACCAGTGATCATAGACAACAAAACACAATTCGGAATCGAATACAACGGTACATATAAGTTCATTCTTTATCATACTCTAAGATCTACAGTTTCATTATATCTTAATATATAAATTTTGATTCTCTCGATTCGAATAATATGTCAGATTATGAATACAGTGGTCTTGAGTGCTGTTAAAGGTATGAGGGCAGTTATCGCTTTCCGGTTGCCCATACCGTGGAAGGGTTCTTCTATAGGTAGATGAAAAGGAAATCGGGTTAGAAGTGGTCTTAATGACCTGAGATCGTGACTGCAGTGTCCAAGGGACAAATGCTTGAGGTCGGTCACACACGACCTTTTTGTGGGTAGCTTTTGTGTTAGCTCCGTACTTGTTGTGACCTTACCGCCAGATTCGGATATTTAATTTTTCTACATCATTTCAACTCTTCTGTCATTGATCATATTAATTCGAACTTGTCGAGCTAGTGTTATATAGCAACTTTGGCTACCAAATACTTTTTTTTCTCAATTTTACAATCATTTCAATTATTAATCAGAGAAAATGAATATTACTGAAAAATCAATACATCAACAACTTACATGCATTACGATGATCACATCGTCCTAACTGTTCAACAACACAATCATAGTCGCGTCCACCAGAAAGCTAAGATAGTGACAAATAGAAAAAAAGGAGATATACACATTGATAAATTTTCCAATTTCAAATATCTGAGAACTCCCATGTACGAGAAAGAAACGACCCCAAATGCCCTGGTACGGCCGAGAGTGGGAAGAGTCCGCTCTCTTCCTCCTCCTAATCCTCACACATGGCCACGCGTATATAGCCTCTACCAGGGAAGTCCTACTCATTGCCTTCTCACAGTGGCATTACTGTTGTTTACGAAATTGAAAGGACGAAAAGCGAATGTCCGGCGCTTTAACCGGGTTGGTGGACAAGGCGAGTCCATCTAGAGGAGTTGGAAAACCTTGATTCCAAACCATAAGTGCACATGGACTTCAGTATCCTGAGGGAACAAATGGCGTACGAATCAATCGTTGATCACCGGCTACCATGGGACTGCATCTCCTCACGATGCTCCACTGCTTTGTGGATCAGACCTTTATGTCAAAAACTCCGGATGTGGCCCCCTAAGAAAACCAGATTCTTCAGTTCGGGCACCTGGGCAGTATCACAGCCCTCACACAAATCGAATGAGATTTGTATGGCGCATATGTATCTGGTGCTTCCTTGTACCAATATTTACGTGTTTAAATAAATAAATAAACTTATGTTTTCAAGTATTCAACGGTGATCTAACTTTAATCAGTTTATGATTTAAATGGTATTTCATATATATGTTGGTATTTTTGATGCAATCAAAAAAACTAACTAAATAAAACGTGTACTTGTAATAGGATCATTTTGTTTACACATACATATATTTAAGACGGACAAATGGCAGACAATTGAGCCAACATGATTCAAGATTGACAACCATAAATTTATCAATTAATTAACATTTTCATTTAAAAATGCTCATCATATATATATATACACGATTACATCCTTACTACGTCCGAGAATTGAATTGGTAGGATAGTCCAAAGAATATGTCACATATAGTTTTTAGTTAATTAATTGATTGACAACTGTTTACTGGTTATTACCTCTAAACTACAATGATATATTTCGGTATTATGATATCGCCTAAAGCCGATGAACGGAATGAAAGTTAACAACACAACAACAGGACAAGCATAGCTATTCCACTGCGCCCAAGCATTGATAGCTACAGGAAAATCACCAGATTCAACAGAGGAAAATCTGTATTCCACAAGCGGTCGGAAGCACGAACGAACAACCGTACAACTCATGTGTACATATACAGCGCAAATGTGTCCTTGAAAAGCGTACTAAAAGAGGAAACGAACTAATGACAATTAAGGTCCTTCGAAGTGAGAAATACAAATTGAAGGTAAACGTGAGCGCTTTCGGGAAATTAAATTTCCAAGATATAATTACAAAGTTGAAACATTTATCAAGTGATTTCTGGAAATCTAGTATCCCCAATACTAGCTCAGTTACCAGATATAAATTCGTGTACTTGGTTTTGAGATAAGCAATAAATGTGGCGGTTAGCGATACGATCTGGCTGCCTAGATAGAAGCAGGTGGAACAGCGTTCAAATATGCAACTTAGTGACTGAAAGTCGAATGCCTTAATCACTATTCCACCACTGCATTGTTATAATCCGGATCATGTGCCCCATAATCAATCGATTAGACTACCAGATTTAAGTGTTAGGGTAAGTTTTATCAGAAATTTTTGTATATAAGGTTTCCCAATTCATATGAAAAACAGTTATACAATTAAATGAACATCACTAGATAATGTGATGTAATTACTAACTAGGGTTTAAAATTTTTACGAATCTGTATAAAATCACATCAAATTTAAATTAAGACTCAACTTGCTCCACAACTCCTTTGCTCGGGTTAGGATTGGGAATGCTGACAAATGTCTTCTGAATTTAAATATTAATCTAAGATCACTCTGTGATCTAAATAATCAAACTCAAGAGCCACCATTAATCCCTCATCGCAATGATAATCGAGTGCACACTAGCGACTAATTTTGAAACATATAATACATAGAGCTTTAATGAGAAGCCGTAATTAGAGAAGTTAAAGAAGATCAGATGGGTTGCAGTTACTCAAAAATGGATTTGGAGTCAGGTTACAAACGTAAACTTGTGTGGTTTAGACATTAAACTTTTCATATCAAGTGAGATCATTGATGCATACTGCTGAGAAGTCCCATATTAGGGGGATATAGCCGTCTAGTGTTTCCTGATTCTCAAATGATAGATAACTAGAATCAATCTGTGGTGTAAATAATGAAACTTTATACCTAATCTCATTGACCATTACTTTTATTCAATTAAGCTCTTTTAGCCAAATAGTAATGCATCTCAGTTGGAGATTTACACAAGATGATAATAATTGGAAACACAAATTCGTCAAGTATGAAGGTGTATATATATATATGACCAACAACAGAAAATAAAACCATTATTACCTGACACATTTTTAAACAAGTCATCGCCGCATTCTCATCTGGAAATACAAATAATAATTCGACACCAGCTGTTAAATGAGCGAAACGATAACAACGAAACTTCGATCGACTACTAACTTCATCATTCATATTTACATTATTATTAGTAGTAGTTGTTGTTGTTGTATTTTGAAAATCTACTATATTCGACTTATAACAATCATTGAAATCTGATAAAATTTGTTGAGATAAACCAGAAACATGAGGATCCATCCAATCAGGATTGATTCCACTAGTATTATTATTATTATTCATATTACTAGTTATTCGTGAAGTTAATGTTTGAGTATTATTACTACTATTATGATGATTTGAATTACAACCAAGTGGTAACCAATTCGGGAAATTAGCAGGTAATTGTTCAAAACACCATATAAGACCAGGTATTGGTAGAATTAAACATGATGCATTACAATTAAATGATTTATTAACATTCATCATATTATTTGAATAATCCAAATCGGTATTGCAGGTAGGATGATAATAATATGTAATAGAATCATCATTTAAATCATCGTGAGATTTAGAAGTATCCATTGTTCCTTGAGAACTATCACGAAGATTATCACGAAGGCTACCCAAACTGTTATTTCTTGGATAGATTATATCATTTTTATGTTTAGAAGTCTATGGTGCACAAAATGAAAAGAAAATAATGTAACTTGTTCAGAATAGAGTAAGTAGAATGGTTGTTAAAAGTGGAAGAAATTACAACTCACCATAGAAATACCTGTCAACAATTTAGATCAATATAAGGCAGAATGACAATGGTATTTGACGACTAAATGAAACAAACTATTTCTATATGTAATGGTGTGAGTTCTCCCACTGTTAAGATTAATGAAAACACAGTTGACCCATTTCTATTCGATATGTGGATTGTAAGTAGTATGCTGTGATATTGTCATTTATTCACAAGTCGTCTTCGGTATAAAAAAAAACATGAGGAATTGACTGAACTTAAATATTATCAATGTTGTATACTGACTTAGTGGTTTGTAGGATAAATGTACATGTGAAAGACTGAAGATTCTGGATTCGATACCTGAATCCGAGGTTGTGAATGCGCACTGTTGAGGAGTACAATATTAGGGCTAAAAAACTGTATAAAAGGAGAGGACAAGAGCTGATATTATTCACATTTTGTCTCTTTCAAATCGGATGTAATAAGAAAAGATTACTGATTCTATGAGATTTTTTACAAGTCGAGATAAGTTTTCAGTGACTAGTAAACTTTTCCATAAACGAATATGTACTGGTTAATCTAATGATCCAAATCAGTGACAAACTAGAATGAAGTGAGATATGTTCTATGCAACTAGCATTATAATCTTTATAGGATTATCATTGTATTACATTTTTGAATGGCTGAATTGAATAATTCCAAAGAACATATTACGCCAGGAAATAGAAGCAGATATAAAAACGATGAATAACAACTGTAAGAACTGAAAAGGATTGCCCAGGACAGAGTTGGATGGAGAATGCTAGTAAGCGGCATGTGCTTTTGCACGAGGGGTAACAAGCATAAGTAAGTAAGTAAGAATTGAATAATTATCACAGTTTACACATAGATTATCTGATTCTTGTAAATACTAACAGTTGGAAACGTTGAATGAGATGATTCAAAATCGATTGCATTGGAACAAATACATTTTTGATAAAAAGAAAAAAATCCTTGTCCACCCATTGACAATTTGTTTCAAAGTTATCTTATATATTTACACTCTACGGAATGGTCTTTTCTTCCCAAACTATAATGTGTGTGTGCTTAATCTTTTCTACTGCCAATCATTCTGTCTGGCTGTTATGATCTAGTGTGACAGCTTGAATCGATACACAATTATACTAGATGCTACGATGAGCTTGACTGATCGACCGACCAATCTCTCTACACTAGTAGATCTCAGTAAACAAATGAATGTATGGTAAGCAAAGATGGATAGTGGCCAGCAGTGGAATCCAAGACGCGCGTTGCGTCCTAATCGGTACTCGTCAGCTGGATGTACCTGCATCTCAAACTTGTTGATGTTCACTCTGGAACTCAAACTCAGTACCTTCCGTTTCAAACACCATCGTGTTATGCACTCTAAGATGCAGATAGATCCAGCCGACGAGTCCCGAATAGGACGAAACGTGCGTCCTGAATTCCATTACTAGCCACAATCCCTTTTTGCTTACAGAGAAAAACAGACGTTAATAGTAAATCAACACTAAAATTTAGATAATTACTACTAGTAATTATACAAACAATTAACTTATATGAACACTTAGACGTAATTGAAAACAAAACAAAACAAATATTGCGCAATATCATTTCAACTTAATTAGTCTGTTGACATACATTGTTTTTTTTAAAAAATACGGTAAAAAACCAGTCTTGGTAAACAAAGGTTAGACAAAGTTATCAAAAACTATTTACACATATAACTGTTTGTCTATTTATCTATCTCAGAGTGTGTATGTGTAGGGGGGTAAGGGTGAGGGTTGGGTGGACGGATGTATGAGCAACACATGCACAAACAGATCGATTGATTTATAATTTTTTTTTTAAAATGAAAAACAAAAACAAAAGCACTGGACTTAGCAATTATCAATTCTGATTATTATTATTATTATGTGTATGTTATGTCCCGATAACAATAGTGAATGGTAACTTTGGGATCTATTTATGAACCAATATTATGCATATCATTTTTATCGTATAATTGACAAATAACTAAACTGTTCATATTCATGTTCCCCTTATCATGAGCTTTATTTTGACCTATAGACTATTATTATACGATTTACCATTCTTGAGGTATCCCTAGTCCATTAATTACTGTTTCCCCCTATTCACAGCCAAATTTGGCTAAATTTTGTACAAATGTTATTTTCTATTTTATTGGTACAATGTGGTCAGTATGTTTGAAATATAATGATTCATACCGCTGAGGCTGTTCTGGACTTGACTGGCTGGGCTAAGCAGAAAGCAGGAACGATAGGCACTCTAGACGGCTCCTACGGTTTTCGTGTGTCACTATTCCAATAGATAATTCGCTGCTCACTGATTGGCAGTTTTATAACGTCACACGTAAACAGGGCATCCACTCGGCCACAAATTATAACAGTGTATCACATAATAAAACATTGTACTCAGAATTAAGATGAAATGAACATTGACAAGCAGATAAACAAATACATGTGTATCTATACCCTTTAAAATATGATATACATAGAATAAACTTAATGGATTTGTTGAATAATCAACATTGAAAATAGGATAAAAAGTTGAACATGTTGAATGGATTAACATGAATAGGGGTGATTGATGTAGTACAACAGTGTCAAGATAATAGTAACAGTCAGTCAGCAACAATGTAGGACCAGGCACACAAATGCTTCGGTCCAAGTTGCCATACCTTGTTAGCACAACAACATGAACACCGGATTCATAGAAGTAGTCAATTTAGTGGTGATAACATATAAAAGAAAGGTTGTATATAAGGATATAGTATAGGAAGGAAGACAGATATGAAGCAATTTTAATCTCAAGGTTTAAGGGAAGATAAACAGTGTATACACCTATACACCTATTATTAGATAATAGTAACAGTCAGATTGCTTACATTTAAACGGATTGCTTAGGTAATTACACTAATATATAAATATATATGGTAGTTTCACACTTAGATGGTGTAAAATTTCCAGTGAACTGGTTTCATAGTTTCTTACATTCGGTCACTGATATTGTGTGTGTACCATTAAGACTCGTGTCTAGTTGGTGAGACCATAATTTATGGGAGACCGTTCGAGCGGCTCAAATATGATCTTGAGAATGAGGGTTATAAACCAGTGTGAGGAATTAGAATTATGGTGGTTGGGATTAAAAACTAGATTTAAGGTTTTCATCACGAACTGACATCATCTTAAATGCTAAAACGTCATTTAGTCAAATAGATGAATGAATTTTGCTCAAAAATCAAAGACCTGTTATCTTATATTTGATCGGTTCGTTCATAAATTACAGTCTCGCCGTTTAGTTTAAATTTTCTTGGGATTTAGTGTGTCAATGTATATAGACATAATACAATGATATATGAATGTTTAAATATGTCAAACTGAATAGAAATTACAATTTCTAATTTAATGGTTGACTTGTATAAGTTTTAATGTTGGATTGATAAACTCTCTGTTGATTTGAAAACATACAGAGAATAGGTATTGACAGCTTTGAAGAAACAAAAACACATGGGCTATTTCAAAAAAAAACGTTATACAAATGGTTTTTTGGGAGAGATGAATTACTTCTATTTATGCAACTGACAAAATAAGTAGAGATTCATGTACTCAGCTTTTAGCTAAGTATGATGTGACTACTGGATGAACAATGTAAAAGTTAAGCACATAAAACTATGTGAAGATGATAAATCAGTTGATAAGGTAGTAAATCTGCACCAAGTTAGTTGGCTGAGGCATGTATTAAGTATGTCCATTAATCACATATTTCTAAGGGTAATGTTATCTCGTTTGGCGATAGACTTGAAAAGAAAGTTAAAGGCTGCCAAACCAAGAAGCGAAATCAGTCCATGAAGTCATTGATAAGTGGACTGAGACATGTCAACAAGTGCAGACTACCTGGTTACGGTCTGAAGAATTTTCGTAATCAATGGTTAAAGTCATGTATCATAATCAGTCACAATCACATAGATGTATTCACTCTTTGCTTTCACAAGATCTCCAGTTTGAAAATATCATACTATTTTCTCTTTTTATATAACTAATTTTGTCTGCGATTAAAGATACTACTACTTTCACCACTCTGCGATTTGTATTAATGAATTTTATTCGTTGTGCGGCAACTTCAATCGGTGTACACATGTGCCAACCTCTAAGTTGCTTAACACTTGCTGACTGGCTCAGCTTCGCGCCACATTCTAAGTATGTGAACTAGTAATATTACACAGTTGTCCAAATCGAAGTAGGCTGAGAGAAAATTAAAATTGTACCATGTTAATTGAAAGTCGAAAGCCTTAAATATTAACCCACCACTTCCCCCTAGATACTCATTAGTCTATGTTGTTAAGATAAAATACAATTCCACCAACAACAAAAAACGAACACAATCGAACAACAACTTTGTCGTGCATCATCATGAATCAAAAATAGGTGAACACTTGATAAAATGAAAACTTATTTTAAAAAAGAAACCACTGATGTTGAGTTAGATCGGATCGGTACAATACAATAATATAAGGAAAAGACTGTTTCCTTTGTTTATCTTTACATTAAACATTGAGAGCTTACAAAAGACACCAAGATTCTGCGGTCATTGTATCAATGATACAATGAAAGATCATTAGCTTTAAGAGGCATAAAGTGAACTATACAATGGTGAACTATAAAATCAACTTCAACTAATCATACTAATTAACAAATGAAATTAGCATTTACAGTAGAGTTGGTAAAACCAAATAAATAGAAACTAATTCTCTTTCAACATACAACTGATTACTCACCAATTACTCATATTACATTTGCACACTATTAGAGTGATAAACACAAGTTATTGTTGTTGTTGTTGTTGTTGTTGTTTCAGTTTTACATTCAAAACAAAAAACAACTAAATAATCATTGGTAGTTTAGATAGAGACTATAGTATTACATAATTCAATTCAATGGATGAGAAATAGATGAACCAATGTAAGATGTTCAAATGTTTCTGCATAATTAAACTGAATATATTTGACCTTTTGCTTGATCATTCTAATGTTAGAGTACATTATTATTATGATTATATATACAGTCTCATATGATAAGGTTAATGAGTCTAGAATTTCAATCACAATCATTTTATTGTCAGAAGTTTTTTTGTGGAGATTTAGTATTTTCATAGTTGAAAGCGTGAGTTAATTGAAGCTACACCACCAGGTCGTGGATGCGCACTGCCACTGAGGAGTCCCATAATAGGATGAAACGGCCGTCAAGTGCTTCCAGGTTTTCCCTGGTGGTCTAGCTTCAATTGACTCATGATTTCAACTATGAAAATCATTTTAGACAATGCATTATTTGTTTTACTAAGAGTTAATGTGATCGATAAACAGGAAACTATAATGCAACTGATAGATAATGAAAGCTACTTTACTCTGAAAGGATACATTAAATTGTATATCATGAACAATGAACGATTTATATGTGTAAACGATTCACCTACTCTATACTAGATCCTCAACCAGCATTATTCTACACGAAGCTTTAATATGGCTCGAATCAAGAACACATAGTTCTCATGACCAGTACTCGTATTCGCCAACAATCAAGTAAGTATAAGGGTAAGTATAGGGAAATATACATGACATGTCGAATACCTACCAGACTATCGTATCAGTCTGTGTCTAGGCAAACAACTAATGACTATGTTTTCACGCTCACACAACACTCAGTTGATCAGATTGATTTAGCAACACATTTTATAAATAAATACTCAATAAATCGCGGATATTAGCTTAGATAATTTGTGAAAATTAGTCAATTTGTAGTCTATATTACATAAATACTTTGATTAGTCCAAAAAATAAAGACATAAGAGTATTGAATAAATATCCATCCTAGTGTGAAACACTTTAATAGTGTTCAAATCATAATTTTGCTTGAGGGTTCCAATGAGTACATTACAATCTTAAACAAGTTATTATCCGATAGTTGTCCGGTTGAAGTCAGTTATATATGTTAACTAGAAATCTCGATAGTAACTGTCACTTTGACATGATGGTGAGGTTTGTCTATCATGATGGCTCAATAGAGTTATATTAACTGCTACATTTGTTTCACTAGGTTCTACTATGCGCTAGGAAGGTCAGGTTAAAGTACAGTGAGACTAAAAGCTATAAACTTAGGTTTCTGAGGTGAAATCTCACTGCTCACTGTACTGATGTGATATAGAAAAAGTGTATTCCCTTCAGACAACTGAGATTTTCAGAGATGGTATCTCATTACGTAAGAAAGGAGTTAGAAAATTTCGATCCTTACAATAGTAGACGTGACCTTAACGGCATAGATTTAAGTCTCCAGTAGTAAGGCCTTCAAGTTGTAGAACTAAGACATTAAGAACTAAGGAAAAAGACGATTTAAGATCGGTCTCAAGATATTGACTGTCGACAACAAATCGACATTAGTTAAAACAAACATAGAGAAGAAGCTTAATGATTCAAAGCAATTTCGTCTTGATTAGGAAAGAAAAAATAAACAATGGATAGGATAAAATCAGTAACTTACTTTTGCTGTTCGTCCAGTTCCATGAAATGCCCAAGATGCTTTGATAAATTTCACTTCAGCACCAGATACGCGCATGTAATACGGTTTCCATGAGTAAGATTTATTATCCTGTATTTAAAAAATATATAATCAAGGATAAAATAAGACTTGATATATTTATGCTTACACATACAAAAATACTTAATAAACTATCACATCCAATAAAACAATTCAGTATGCAAAAACTCTTAGTTACAGCATCCGCAACTCTTTGCCATTGATGAAACAATCTCACTCTAAACATTCTCGTCATATAGATTACTTTAACAGTAAATTTTACAGACTCTAGAATAACTGATTCATTTAGTATTGTTTGTTTGAATCTTTCCATTGACGTTTAAGGACTGAAACTGGTCAGTCTCTAATTTGCATATGTGCATACTGTGCGTATTGCCTCAATATAGCCTTAATTAACAAGCATGGTAAGCAGAGATGGATAGTGGCTAGCAGTGGAATCCAGGACTGACCAGTTGCAGTCCTAACACATCGATGGAAAGATTCAAACAAACAATACTAAATGAATTTAAACATCACACCATCGCACAAGCAAGTGGCTATCAGGACTCAGTGGCCGAGTGGATAACGCGATGGCGTTTGGAGCGAGGGTACTGGGTTCGAGTCCCAGAGTGAACATCAACAAGTCTGAGATGCAGGTATATCCAGCTGACGAGTCCCAGATAGGACGAAAAGCGCGTCCTGGATTCCATTGCTAGCCACTATCCATCTCTGCTTACCATATTGTTCATAGTTGATAATTCAAGGAAGAGTTCAAGATCTACTAAGTAAACAATGAAAAGAACTTGGAGATATCAAAGTATTACATCATTAATCAATTTTCTGGCATATGTGCATACTGTGCAGATTGCTTCAATACTGTCATTAAGTCACAAGCATTAAAAGTAAAGATGGATGGTGCCTAGCAGTTGAATCCAGAAAGTGAAAGGAACTGGGCTCGGGTCCCGGAGCGAACATAAACTCTGAGATGCAGGTACATCTAACTGACGAGTCCCCAAATAAGACGAAACGCGAGTCCTAAATTCCACTGCTAACCACTATCCATCTTTACTTAGTATACACTGAAGTTATCTTTCTTAATACCAGTAAAAAGTATTGAATTAAGCATTAGTCAGATATGTATTCAATTAATTTAGAAACTAATAGAATAAGAAAACTTACAGATCCACCGATAGCAAGAATTTTGCAAAAACATTGACGTGATAAAAATGATCCAGACATATCACATAGTATATTCTATGGAATGAATTTTTTCAACAAAAGAAAAAGTCATTGATTTGAAGTTAGATATAAATTTTATTAAAGAGAGTAATTAATATTTTTCATTGTACACAATTCTCTGGGTAGAATCTTGAAACAGTCAAGGTAAGTTAGGTGTAATTTTACGATTCTTCACATCTCTACTAATTATTCATAATTAAAGTCAAGATGTCGGCTCGCCCCCCCCCAAATGCCCTGGTACGGCCGACAGTGGAGAGAGTTCGCTCTCCCTATTCAAATGCTCTCACATGGCCACGCGTATACAGCCACTTCAAAGGAAGTACTACTGACTGCCTTCTAGCGCCAGGAGTGTTGTTTACGAAATTGAGAGAACGAAAAGCGAATGTCCGGCGCTTTAACCGGGTTGGTGGAGAGTCCATTTAAGGGAGTTCGAAAACCCTCATTTCAAACCAATGGTGCACATGGGCTGGCTCCAGTATCCTGAAGGAACAAGTGACGCATGAATCAATAGTTGGTCAAAGACTACCATGGAATTGCTCCACTGCTTTGGGGATCAGAGCTTTAGGTCAAAGGCTCTGTGTGTGGCCCCCTAAGAAAACCACCTGCTTCAGTTTGGGCACCTGGGCAGTATCACAGCCCTTACACAAATCAAATGAGATTTGTGTGGCGCACATTTATCTGGTGCTTCCTTGTACCAATATTTATGTGTTTAAATAAATAAATAAACACTGAAGAAATCTAGACAAGTATGCTGGACAAAACGTTGGAAATATCTTGAAAATTTCAACCGCTTATATTATTCAAGTATAATTTACGGAAATTATTGTTTCCTACCAACTCGGTGCCCGATTTCTGTTAAACTATTCGTTCAAATATTGACGTATATTAGTATCAATGGTACAGTTTTAAAAGGACGGAACGAAAATAAAACAATGAAAAGGGGATAGAAAAATTGTTTGCAAGAATACGAATGACAACAAAAGGTGTAGATCGACTTTTTAACACCATCTCTATCTTTCTCAGCAATATTAAATATTATAGTATTTTATGGAGATGAGCTAAGGAAACACCCAATGCTGTCTTATATAAGCTGTTAATAGACGGGTTTAACTACATAACGCAGAAGTTGTATTGGTTCCGATAAAAAGGAATACAAACAAATGACCAATCATTTTATCATTATTGGTTGAAAAACTGAGTGTCTTTAGTCTCAATATTCATTCATACATATTTTCTTATTGAGGCATAGTTTTAATGTTTAGTCTTGCTCATTATCAGTGTTAATACGTTGTTAAATATCTCTTTTGTTAAATTAATCTTGTCTTGCTAATATGATAAAATAACTTAGGCTAACGTATATAACGTTACAAGTTTTTATGTTCATGATGACTGATAGAACTCCGTCTGTAGCTGTTCTAGGGCTACTACCAGTCCCAAGCCGACAAAAAGGAGGAAGGTTGGGCATGGGGTCAACATCCCGATCCGGTAGAAAACAACCTTGCTAAAAAAACGCTAAGCAAAATGAACAAATTAAACCATTTAAATTCTGCCCTTCAAATTGAAGAATTATGACACCTCATGGTGAAAGCGGTTATTCATCGGAAATCACGATGCTGATACCTCTTCTAACAACCAGAGGAACAATTAACATGGATACGTGGAATGTTAAAGTGAGCGGCCTATGCTCCTCCACGAGGAGTAAGCGGTGTACGTAAGTAAGATGAATTGACCGAACAAAGGGTTATCAAAATCGGTCTCAAAGATGAAAATGATAAAAGAAATTTCTTAGTTTCTCTTTTTTTGAGCTGAATTATGTAAGAGAAACAGTTAAAAAAAACATCGTCATACATATTTTTTTGGCAATTTCTGTTTCACTTATTCTTACATCCCTCATTCGTATGTACACATCATTACTTTTGATAGTTTTCTTTATACAATTCAAGTTAATTTCCTCCAACCAGTATTGGCCTAGATTTCAGTGAAATTTAATATGATTAGATGAAATTTGTGATAGAAGTTATTAAAGAGAATAAATGTGACCTACAAAACTGATATGATCAGAAGGTGTTTTGTTCAGATTTCAGTATTTTCATAGTTGAAATCATGAGGCAATTGATGCTAGACCACCAAGGAAAATCTGGAAGCACTGAACGGCAGTTTCGTCCAATTGTGGGACTTTTCAGCAGTGTGCATCCACGACTCCGCCTCGCGAGGATCTGCCAGTCTCGCGGCAGAGCACTTAACCACTAGACCACTGAGCCGGCATCTGATGGTGTTAATGTCAAAATTCAACCAGTCCACAAAGATGAGCGACCGTTCACCAATTGTCTTCAGTGAGTTGATATATCACAACAGACCTGTTTGAACTCCACTGGTAGGTTCTGGGTTCGAATAGTGTGCACTGCTAAGGAGTCCCACAATAGAACGAAAAGGATGTCCAGTGCTTTCAGGTCTTCCATGGGGGTCTAGCTTTAATTGACTCATGATTTCAACTATGCAAAAACAGATATTGTTCATTTATTTATGTCTTTTATTTACAGTTACATGTTCTGTAAATAAATTATATACAATAATGTTATTTCTTTTATTATTTTGAAAGAAAAATTAAACCTATTCTTTTAGCCACTGATTATAGGAAAGAGTAAATGAATGAGCCACTTAGAGAACATTCGTTATAAATGGATAGATTATAGGAAAACAAACAATAACTGTAGATGAATTTATTATTACATTGTTCATCTTTACAGAAATCAAATAGAGTTTTAAAGAGTATTCACATTGTTTTTAGTTAGGATTACATTTAGGACATTCAGATTACGAATTGTATCACGAAGTAACATCAAAATACACTACCATTAAATTAAAGCTTGACTAAGGATTAGACGTTGAAGGTGGAGATTTAAGAAAATATCATATTATATTAAGTCTCCAGAATAACAATTGAAGAATGAATACGTTTCACATAATCAACTAGAACATTCTCAGTACTTATATGAGGTTATCACTACTGTTCATAATACATGAAAGTCGATTGCTGAGTAGAAACCTAAATAAAATCACTTTCCTAATGCTGATAGTTCATCCTTATATAATACTTTCATCACATGATCCTATGTTGTCTTACATCAACGATATGATCTTGTGAATAGCTATCATTCGATCACGACATAATGTACCATTTCATATCATTTATCGATTGATCAGAATTTGTATGTGCATTCAGATCATTTACAGCCTACACTATAATATGATTATCATTTTTTAAAAAAAAGATCGAAATGGACCACATCAGCAGTGTATTCGCAGTAGATTAGCACAAAATCAAAAGTATTAAGACTTCTTATAGTCAATTAAAATATGTTTATGTGACTTAAATTTTTTAATCATATTCTAGTCAATTTTGGTGTATTGTTTCTTTTTTTTCTAAATAAAAAAACGCTTCAGTGTGGGGGATCGTGGAGTTTCTATCGAAGGATGTTTGTTTTTTTCTGGATGATAGTGTATAACATCATTATCTGTTATATCGTCTATCAAGGTTTTCTTGGAATTCTAAAATACTTTTAATTTATCACATACTGAAGTACTAGATTTTATAATTGAATGATTATTAGATCTTTGACAGTGAAGGTAGATAAATAGTCTCAAGTATTTAATAAATCAATCATCCATACTAGTATAAATGCTTCATATTAACAATAGAGAATTCAGTATAACTTTTTTGAAAATTTTTGAGTTCTAACTTAAATCGTGAACTGATCAATGGTGGTCTAACATTGATCAGTTCACGATCACAATGGATACATACTTCTATATGGTTGAAATTGGCAACAAAATAGGTTTTCAAAGGTTGGTTGATTGTTGAAAACAGAAAAAGCATACTTATTCATAACAACATACATATATTATAATAAATTGTGCTAGACTTGAGACTATGTGTAGCCCCATATAGAAAATCAATACTGAACGAAATCGCTTTAACTGATATAAACTTTTTGTAATTAAGTAGATTTGATCCATAATTGGATGTGTAATGAACACAAAACTGTAAACCTCGTTGTTACTGTTAAGATTAATCAGAATTACGTTATTATGAATATTGATAAAGATTTACCAGTGATTTTCCCTATGGTTGTGGAGATGTAATTCTAAGTTTAAAGCAGTAGGAATAATAAGAGTATTAGTAATTGTAAAAGTGATTAAGTATACACCATATGACTCGAAAAGAAAGAATAATTTCACAACATACAAAGACATATAAGATCATTGTGCTACTCATCAATTACAGTTTTGCAGAACAATGAGAAGATGGAGTTGATCTAGAATAAGAAGGTATTTGCTCTATATGTTTCGAACATTCCGGTCAAACGTATACTTGTCAACGTATTTTATAAGACAGATGTGAAGCAATTTTTAATCTCATGGTTTAAGGGAAGATAAAGAGTGTATACACCTACGCCATTGTGATCGATTCTGAGCCATGTCACCTAGAGTCTGCAAGCATTGGTTAAAATAGTCGCTCCGACTCCAACTAAGTAGTCTGCATCTACAAACATGACTTAGACTAGAAGTTAGTGACTTCATGCTCTGATATAAATATAAATATATAACGTCTGTAGAACTAATTGGTTTATTCTATAAAAAAAAAGTGTGGTTATTTGAGTAAAAAGTACATGCCAATTAACAATGTGTACACAAACAAAATAAAACAAGATGAAAATAAAACGATAAATTTCAATGTTTAAAAGTGATAATCAATTGAGCAATAACTATTTGAGTTATTCAAATAATAATAACATAGAAACGAGACCGATTGATACTACTCTTAAAAATTCATAACAAGATTTACACAGCCAATAAAAAAATGCCATAAACTTCACTCTAATGTACAACCTAATGGTTATATAGACTCAATAGTTAAGTTGATAAAGCAATGGCATTTCAAGTCAACGATATTAAGTTCGATTAAAGAAATGAACATCAACTCTTGAATGTGAAAGGTATATACAACTGAAGAGAATGCGCTTCCTAGATTCCATTATTGTTAGCCACCACAATCTATCTCTGTTTATAATTGATAGAAATTATTTTTAAAATTATCATTTAATCCAAATAACTGAAAGAATGGTAGTTTGAAGATTTTATGTAATAAATCTTTTTCTTTTGATTTTTCCCTCATATAAAGATAACAAAACAAAAAAACAAAGATAAAGTTGAAATCATGAGTCAATTGAAACCAGACCACTATGGATGCGCACTGCTAAAGAGGAGTCCCACAACATGACGAAATGGCCGTCTAGTGCTTCCAGGTTTTCCATGATGGTCTAGCTTCAATCGACTTATGATTTCAACTATATAAAATTACTGAAATTTTCACAAAAACCCCTTCTAAATAACAAAGATTTTTAGATTGGTTAGTAGTATGATGTCAAGTGAGATGAAACCTAATGGAATATTGAAATGATTTACTATACATACACCATATAATGGATTATATTGTAAAATTAATGAGATTTACAATATACTACTATTGTTAAACAGTTATATATATATAGCCTTTCACAAGAAAGTCCTACTCACTGCCTTCTCGTGGCATTACTGTTGTTTATGAAATTGAGAGGACGAAAAGCCAATGTGAGGCGCTTCAACCGGGTTAGTGGACACGGAAAGTTCACCTAGGGTAGTTAAGAAACCCTGATTCTAAACCAATGATGCACATGGGCTCGAGGATCCCTAGTAAACAAATGGCGTATGAATCAATAGTTGGTCACCGGCTAAAACGGGACTGTATCTCATAACATTGCTCCACTGTCTTGTAGACCAGACATGTAAGTCAACGAATCGTGGTGAGGTCCCCTATGTAAACCACCTGCTTCAATTAGGGCACCTGGGTAGTATCACAGCCCTCACACAAATCAAATGAGATTTGTGTGGTGCATATATATCTGGTGCCCGTTTGTACCAATATTCATGTGTTCAAATAACTAATATATATATATCATACTGCTGAGGTGTCCCATAATAGGACGAAACGGCCGTCCAATGTTTCCAGGTTTTCCATGGTGGTCTAGCTTCAACTGACTCACGCTTTCAACAATGATAAATACTAAATCTCCACAAAACCCCTTCTATAATTAATATAATCATATGCTCACTAGTGACTTCGAGAAGTATATCTAGGAGCTCTAGTGAGAAGCAGTGACCAGTGGAGTTCAAAACCACGTCTATTGTGAGATAGGAACTCACTGAAAACAATTGGTGAATGGTTGCTCAACTTCGTGGATTGGTTGAAGTTAGACATTAACACCGTTGGATGCCAGCTCAGTGGTCTATCGGTTAAGGGCTTCGGCTCGAGACTTGTAGGTCCTGGGTTCGAATCCTGCTCGCGAGAGCAGGTTCGTGGATGCGCACTGTTGAGGAGTCCCATAATAGGACGAAACGGCCGTCCAGTGTTTCCAGGTTTTCCATGGTGGTCTAGCCTTAATTGACTCACGCTTTCAACAATGATAAATACTAAATCTCCACAAAACCCCTTCTATAATTAATATTATATATATATATATGCATAACTCTACATTGATTAATCAATGAATGTTGAGATGAAGCATTTTATACCAAATAAATATGATTAGTTTAAATAAAAATAATCGTGTTCGGTATTACAATAATTTGTAATTATTATAAGAGGTCAAGGTAACAAAAAAAGTGTGATCAAAATGATCAAAGTTGATTATGACAAGATAGAGAAGGAACAAATAGAACAGATCATTAAGTTAGATTTATATAATGATTTGCGTTTAAAAGTTATCTCTACATTAGGTACAATACAATACTCTGATTTAGATGAAGTGTAATTATATATATATATATAGATATATAGATACACACACGAACGAACGAACGAACGAACGAACGAACGAACGAACGAACGAACGAACGAACGAATGAACGAACGGATTAAGTAATATTGAAAATATTAAAATGTGATGAGACAAGATAAATTCAAATGTTTAAATGTACTTTCATCCCAATCGACAATTATGATACACTGTTCGAAGTGAAGCAAACTGTAGTTGGGAATTCAACTTAGTATTGTTTATTTGGATCTTCACATTGATGTCTTTGGACTGTAACTGGTCAGTCTCTTATTGGCATATGTGCATACTGTGCGTATTGCCTCGATATAGCCTAAATTCACAAGCATGGTAAGCAAAGATGGATAGTGGCTAGCAGTGGAATCCAGGACGCGCGTTTCGTCCTATTTGGGACTTGTTGGGAATGTATTGACAAGAAAAATTAGTGAGGGATATTGAGAGAGCTATTGTTTACAAACTAAAAAAATATATCAGAAGGGGTTTTGTGGATATATATATATATATATATATATATATATATATATTCTTGAGTGATATGAAAAGAAAGTTAGGTTATAAGTGATTTTAACAGTGTGGGAGTGAGACTGGAAGGTTCAAGGAATAACTGCATTAGGTAGGGCTATATGGAATAGGACGACAAGAATCCGTTCGATGAGACGTGTTATTATTGTTAGGATTGAACATTTGAAATGTTTTTTTTTTCATAATGAGAAAGCATCAACGCTGCATATGTGAACTGTCTAAAGGAAATAACTGATTGTTATTATATGCTCATACAGTCAGTAGTAGGACTTAACACTCGAACCTTTAGTTGTCTTTAATCTTATCGTTTTCCAACTAATTTGTGTAGCACGGTTACACTTAAAGGAACGAATGATCCGGTCAAAATAAATTGATTTGGTTATTACAATAGGCAAGCCTGACTAACACGTGTCAAGACAGCAGATACGATTGGGAACAAGAGATTATGGCTGAGCCAAGAACTATGATACACACACAAGTACTTCCGCTTGTTCCAATCAGTTTCTAAGAAGAAATCTACACTATATACTTTAGTTTCGTCTACTCTAAGAACAAAAAAACTAGACTTCATAAACTACCCGATAATTTATGAAAATGAATTATATTGATATCAACCAAATTGTAGGCAATAAATCTTAAATAATTTCCTAAACTCAAATGAGCAACAGCTTTTCCATGGAAGCCACAACCACAGACGTAAACAAACATCTCCACTAGGTAACAAAAGAAAATCAAAAAGCACTGGATGACTGTTTCGTTCTGGTGTGACACCCCACTGGAAATTGAATTCAAGATCATTGAGTCAATAATAATAAGTGCAATAGTGATTAATTACGACGAGTAACCATCTGAATTCAAGAATTCCGGATGTGAGGCGTTTTAACCAACAATCACATTCAAGTAAAGCCTACATAATTCAATGATTGTCTATACTCCAAAAAAATACTGTATTTACATGTTATTTATCATTTATTTAAACGCATACATATTGGTACAAAGGGGCACCAGATACATATGCGCCACACAAAACAATAAGAATGGGAAGAGAAAGGGGGAAGATGTGTATATATAAAGGAAAAAAAGGAGGGACTGAAATGTACAACCGGAAGACTCTTTCAGTTAAGAAAGTTAGAATCACTCTTTATGAAGAAAGTAAAAGAAGATTACAGCAGGCTCGCCACTGGCTTCTATTCTGAGCCATATCTGATAACGTCTCTAGCCACTGTGTTGCACCATCTCTTGGACCCCATCCAGGGAGTCGTGAAGGACCAACAGAAGCTAGCTCTTTGCAGCTTTCTTCCATACCACGAAACCATGTCATACACTGACCATGTATACACATAAGCGCCTAAACTTTAATTTGATAACTTTATATGCAAAATAGGTTGAATGAAATAAATTGAGAATTTCAAAAAACTCTAAACCTATACGTTACCAACTGAAGGTCACATCACAAGGAAAACTATCAGTATCTGTCAAGTTATAGAAAGATTTTGTACGGACTACCTAGTGAAAATACAAACAATGAGTATTTTCTCTAAATTAATGAAAATCGTACAACATTGAAGGATACTAAGGAATAATTAAATGACCGATATGCATACAGTAAAATCTATCTATCAATTAACTTACCGATTCTGAACGATGTGATCGTAGACCTGAGCATAAAGAACGAAACTGTAAGCGTTTTTTAGTCGAGTTCACATTAGTATGATCACGACTTGATTCCGAACAATGTGAGCTGGAAGTAAACAAACAATCTCATAAAATACGGGCTTTCAAAATGTTTTTCAATCTGCACTAAGTACTTTAGTGAAGTGAATAGATTATGGAACCCATTTATATAAAAAGATATAATTCAGACTTCGCGAACCGTATAACAAACCGAATTTACCAATCAGATCTGATGAACAAAGAATGAAGAACTGATGTCGTGAACTAACATCAACTTCACTAAAAATCAAAAGCAGAATAGTATACATCTTAAGTTGAACAAAAAGACTACTTGGAAGTCACATTAGTCCTGACAATCTGGTGTCTGACAAAATCTCAGCACGGATTCAAATGGCTCGATTGGCTATTGCCCACTTGAGTCACTTATAATGTAAGAGAAATATCAGTCTGCCAAACAAACGACGGGTTTACTGCATAACAATTTACTCTGTCCAACTTCATGGATGTGAAACATGAGCATTACGAAAAGAGGATATTCACAGGTTACTAGCATTCGATCATGGGTGTCTTGGATGCACTGACTGTGTATTTTAGTTCACGGAGTAATCGGTGAAGGGGTTAGGAATAGGTTACTCAGTAAGAATGAGAAATGAATTGAAGATGTAGTAAATATTCATCAACCGGGGTGGTTCAAAGATGGGTCACGTCTGCCCAACCACGACCTACCTAGAAAGGCAATTTTGTCTGATGTAGGAGTAGGTTGGAAGAAATCTAGTATTTCATAAACATTAAACATTGAATCACTTCATGAATTCGTCAATAGTTGGACTGAACAATATTAATGAGTGTAAACTACCGGGTTGCGATTTACATGATTATCGCAACCAATGATTAGAGACTGTGAATGACATGATCCAAAATCGTTTGGAATGGCTCAAGTGCATCGATTCTATGTTTTCTTTTTTTCTCTTATACACACTATACCTTCTCTTTGTCTTCTCATTCTCATTGTTTTGTGTGGCGCATATATATCTGGTGCCCCTTGTAACAATATTTATGTGTTCAAATAAATAAACAAGTGCATCGATGTGATTTAACATATACATAGGATGGAAATGAAGTATACTATCTAAGCGTAAAAGTAGTTAATATCGGTTGTTTAAACCTTCCCATTGATATTTAGAACTGAAATTGGTTAGTCGCTTTTAGGTATATTTACATCATGTGAGGTATGCCTCGATTTTGTCATAAAATCACAAGCATTATAAGCAGCGATGGATGGTGGTTGGAAGTGGTTTGAGTGAATAGTGTTTCGTTCGAGTACTGGAGTGAAGTTCAACTCTGGTGTGTAGAGGGTACATCCAGAAGACGAGTCTCGAATAGGACGAAACACGTGTTTTGAATTCTACTGCTAGTCACCATGTATCTTTGATGAAAATACGTAGGCGTTTTTTGCAATAGTTATTAATTGGATTTCAGTTCACATATTCCAAGAGCTGTTAGCATCCTAGGAAAAAATCAGTGTGAATATCGTTCATCCTAATTGTTGTAGATCGAAGCGGATTGTAAAATTATGGAAAAAATTAAACCGTGATAAGCGCATATACTAATTTGAACGACCAATTCACGCTGTAGAGGAGAAATTGCAGCAATTATTGATTCTACAAGTACCATCATACCTTCAGTAAAATCGAAAATAAAAATAGGTTTTCTGTGTAAGAGTGTCTCTGTGAAAGTCATTTCATCATGTTAAAATTCAAGTACACTTTGTCTTTAGTTATAACGAGAAAATCCAACAAACAAATTTCAACAGTTTAATTTTGCCAGGTGTTCGATATCGTTATTCGAACCATTTGGAGCTTCCATAAACTTTTTATCAACGAAGTTTGGACAGAGCATCAAAAAGGATTGCGTGACGATGATAATAAAGCAATATCTAAACTAAGTATTTCACTTAACAATGTGCGACTGAATCTGTAACCAACTTTGAGCGCACTTGGTATAAGTGTTTGCTATACTTTAAAGAACGAAAGCCTTGTTACGTTAAACCATTTTACTTTATGGTGTAGTTACTCACCTAAGAAAACGGTAGATGTTTGTTCAATGTTGTTCATTAATTAAATCTATAAATTAATATCGTTAGATACCGTCATAGTGGTCTAGAGGTGAGGCGTAGGCCCTAGATTCGAGTCCAGCATGTGGATTCGTGAATACGTACTGGTGAGTAGTCCCATACTAGGACGTGGCAGATTTTCAGTGCTTACAGGTCTAATTTTGATCGACTCATGCTTTCATTGAATTGAAACGAATAGTTCGCTTATGTCGTGTAGCGCATAATTCGATGTTTATGTTCATTCTACGGTAATTTTTTTGTCATAAACAGAAAGCATTTTTGTTGTCATTAGAAAAACACAGTTATATAATCCTTATTGATAATTCAAAAGTACCAAAATAAGGTCGCGACATTTAAAACTTAGGGTACCATTTAATTATAAACAAATAATCAATACCTAATCACTTCTATATAACACGTATTTTGTTCTAAAGGTAGTTTAGAAACTAATTAATTATAAGGCTGGAAATAATTATGTTACTATTGGTTAACAGCAATCATCTATCAGTTAAATATGCGTATTCATAATTACAAGCCTTTTCATAGAGACGACTGTCAAGAAACCATAGCGAATGAACTTCAAACTTAGGATTTTGGTCTATTGTCACTCTGGTGAAAACAGATTATATTATAGGTAGTATGTAAATAAACTAGTAGTAAAAACCATAGTAGCTTATGCTAATCTGGGCCATATTTGAACTTTCGTGATGTTAGTCTAGTTGTAAATGATCGGATTTATAATCCATCAATCAAAGCAGTCGCATGCTATGCTTGTGAAACCTAGCCTCTCCTATTTAACGATGTCAATCGACTATCTGTGTTTGATCATCATTGGCCCTGAACAGTTGCTGACATCCAGTTAGTGATGTGCAGATTCGGTAATGTGTGTTCGAGCTCAGACACTATAATTCAGTTGATGTCATTACGTTGAAACACCGACTTCAGTGGCTTGGACATGTACTACGAATGTCATCCCATCGAATTCCACATACTTGAGTTATTTTCCGACGATATGACTAGTTGGAAGAAACGGGGAGGCGGCCAATGTATCATACGACATGGTGTTGTCATGGTATTAAAGAAAGCTTTACAGGAATGGCTTCTGTTGGTCCTTCACGACTCCCTGGCTAGCGTTCTAGAGATGGTGCAACACAGTGGCTAGATACGTTATCAGAAATGTCTCAGAATAGAATCCACCAGTGGTGATTTTGCTGTAATTTGCTTTTACTTTCTTTATACAAGTGAGAGGAACCTATTTATCTTCAAGAATCCTCTCTAGCTGTATTTTTCTTAACTAACCTGATTTTCCCGTCAATATTATTATTGTAATTGTTGTCATTACTTCACTGATATACATTTTATATCCTCTGTATATATGAATACAAATCGTTGGATGATAAATCAATACCATTAGGGTAGGTGTTTAGTCTAAGTAAAAAATTATCTAAAACGCACAAAGTGAACTTCCATACAGCTAAAGTTACGATAATTCTAAATATTCCCTATAGACAAATCCTATTTAGATCAATCTTATGAGTTGTTTCAATCATGCGTTTAGCAATTCAGGAAGATGATTGTTTACTACTTACGTTTATTAGGACATTGGATTATTAGTATTCCTAGAGCAATGACGGTACATGTTTAGACACCTTAACATATAAATCACGACTGCTCCACTGTAAATATGTGTGGTCACAAAAATACATACACAAACACGAGTGTAAATTGATAAACACAATGGGATCTGTTACAATCTTTAACATTTTGTTAACGTCTATAGAGAAGGATGGACTTTGTTTCTTTTTCACATACTTCTGTTAATGACAAAAGAAGAAAAAACCGAACACTATCTACAAAACAAACTGTTCCAATTGCAAAAAACACTACATCAGACAAAGTGATCTGCCCCTTCATCGTTGCCTGAATGAACATCCATTAGCGGTCAAACGCTAAGATATATCTTCACTTCTATCAACGCATGAGGACGATCATGGACACACACTTGAAAAAAATATATGTTGAAATCTTGGATAGAGGGAATACTAAAAACAGAAAATTTTTGGGGGCTTAGCACCAGGTCAATCAGCAATCAACAAACACAAAATGAAATCGATCCAATCAATCAATCAGAAAAATCTTAGACAAATATAGAATCGAGAATCAGATCAAAGAGAGATCCAATCAAAATAAATAGGCAAACGATGACAACTTGAAGGTTAAAAATGATCAATCAAAATTGGGTTCGATAGGGCAAGCTGTGAGTTATATGTGGAGAAATCCGAACACTTCACTTCTTTCTAAAGTTTGTACGGACGATATTGCTCAAAAGGACAATGAAAGCTCCACGACTGAATCATCCCTCTCAGAAACAAAAACTTCATCTAAACCATCCACCTGAGAGCTACAAATCTTCTCCACTATCTCAATACCATTACACTATCCAAATGTGTTTAGTTAATAATGAATAATAAACACAACCATATAACTAATAAAATAAACAAAAAAGTATTAATGAATGAATCTATAATGAATTACTTGTAGTGGCCAGCCTTTGTAGGCATATCTTTATGACAATTAGGTATAGGACTAGAATAGTAAGGTAGTTGTGAAGAAAATTCTAGATTTTTAACTGTATTCTTATCATTATCATCAGATAAACAATTCATTTGTTGATAATTATCCCATATGCCAGGATGCCGCTGAGTTTTACCTTTACGGCTACTACCATTACTACTACTACTAGTAGTAGTAGCGGTAGACATAGAAGTAGTATTTGATGTTGTTATCGTTTTCTTATTGGCTAAACGTTGACTTTCTTGTTCAAGTATATGATACATTTCACCGGCTCGTGTCCATAAATCTGAAACAGATTCATTTTGATCTTGATCAAATGATGCCCATAAACGTGAACTTAATAAACTGGTTTTACTGGATCGATGTGATGTACCAACAGAAATATAATTCGATTTATTGGTATATGTTTCACGACAAGGCATAGATGAATCTTCTTTAGCTTAAAAGAAACAAATAATAACAAATGGACAGATAAAATTATCCAAATGGAGAATCTGTATTGGGCCAAGTTGTAATATCAAATTAACAAGAAGGAAACTGAAGCAACGGAAATAGTGCAGTATGCAACGCTAATGACAAAGAATGAAAAGATGAGAATGTAATGTGAAGAGAGAGTGAAAAAAGTATACATGAAATGATACTGCAATTCAAGAATATTCAGCTGATTTCTATACGTAATTGGAAGTTGTTGTTGTTGTTGGCGATCTCATACATCTCAATCGATGAAGATTCAATAATGTATCAAACATATGTGTAATCTCCCAAACGCCCTAGTAAGATCGAGAAAGAGGAGTCCGCTTTTTCTCTCCAAATGCTCTAATATGACAATCTGTACGTAGCCACTGCCACGAAAGTCCTACTCACTGTTTTCTCATGAATTTGAATTTTTTCACGAAAATGAGAGGACAAGAAGCGAATGTTTGGTGGGAGATTAAACCGAGATGAGAGGGATATAACGGAGGATACATAGGGGAAGTAGAAAACACTCATTCTAAACCAATGGTGGACATGAGATCCAGGATCCTGAGAGAACGAACGGTCTTTGAACTTATTTTTGGTCACCGGCTAGCATGGGACTACATCTAACAAAATGCATCGTTATGACTAGAACTATATTTTACTAACATAAGTATTACGACTGATTATCTACAACGATGAACCTATAATTTTAATTCATATATATTGTTCGTTCAGATCTTTCCATTGATGTTTAGGACTGCAATTGATCAGTCTCTTTTTTGATATATGTGCATCCTGTGCGGATTGCTTCGACATTGCATCAAGTCATAAGTAATTTAAACATAAGCTATATGTTGGCTAGCAGTGGAATCCAGAACGTGCGTTTCGCCCTACTCGGGACTCACTAGCTAGATGTACCTACCACATCTCAGAGGTGACGTTCATTCCGAGACTCGGAACTAGTAACAATCTTTTCAACCGCCATCTCGCTATCCATACCTAACTACTGAGTACAGATAACCACTGGTCTTCGCGATGCGATGGATTTTAACTCATATATATAAATTACTTACGTGATGAATATGAAATATTTGCTCCATATACATTTGAAACATCTTTTCCTAACAGTCCAATATTAACAGTACCAGTTTGAAAAGGTTGCTTATCAAGCAAATAATCATGATCGTCATCATTATTATCATCACGCGTAAAAGATGATACATTCATTTGGTGTTTCGAATGTAATCCTTGATTAACACTACCACTATTGGTAGAGCTTCGACGTCGAGGTAAGTGAATAATTTTAGGTTCAGTATTATACTGGTAATTATTGATGGAATTTTTTTGTGAAGCATTAACAGCGGGTAAAAGTTGACATGGTGATGTATGGACATTTTTAGATAATGTAACAGAAACTGGTTGACTCTCTGTAGTATTACTTGTGGTAATTGTGTTATCAGTAGAAGTGATATTCATCGATGTTATTGTTTTCACTTGATCATATCGGCCAGGATGACGAGTAGAAGCATAGGCACGTTTACGAATAAATCGAACTGGCAGTGTATCTGTATTTACATCTTCAGTATATGACGGATCTATTGTATGTTTTCGAATAATTCGAACAGAATCATAACCAGACTTTTTAGATGATTCAAATGTGTTCAAATTATGATCGATCGATTTGATCTTAATCGGTGTTTTATCAGTTCCTGTCGGAGAATTATTCATTAACTGAATTGAATCAGGTGGGCAAGAGTTTTCTTTACGAGCTTCACTAGATGATAAGAAGTCATCTGAGAGTAAATTATTCGTTGATGAATTATCAAATTCTGACGTTCATTAAAAAAACATACAATAAAACAATGTTTTCATTAAAGTAACATAATTTTAAAATAAATATAAAGGATAACCGTTAATGTGTATACAAATTCCAATGATACTATCCGTTAGCCTGAACCGAAGTAGGTGAAGCGGACATCGAATATGGGACTTAATGGCTGAAAATCAAATGACTTTACCACTAAGTGACTAGCACTGAACAATTTTCCTTATTCCTTACAAAAATGTAGATTATCAGAAGGGGTTTTGTGGAGATTTAGTATTTTCATAGTTGAAAACGTGAATCAATTGAAGCTAGACCACCATGGAAAACCTGGAAGCACTGGACGGCCGATTCATCCGATTATTAACACCGTTGGATGCCGGCTCACTTGTCTATTGGTTAAGGCCTCTGGCTCGAGACTGGTAGGTCCTGGGTTCGAATCTCGCGAGGCGGGATCGTGGATGCGCACTGTTGAGGAGTCCCATAATAGGACGAAACGGTCGTCCAGTGCTTCCAGGTTTTCCATGGTGGTCTAGCTTCAATTGACTCACGCTTTCAACTATGAAAAAAGTAGCTATTCGTACACATGAAACACGTTTCAGTTAAGTATATAAAGGTTAAATAATCAAACAGCGTAACAATATAATACACTAATGGCCTTGAGTTAACCAGTTAGAATTAAGATAACATTATATATTTGCATGAAATTTGAAATGCAGTGATAGATAACATATATGCCATTATTAACTAAGTGAAAATTGATATTTGGTTATTAAAATGCTCAAAATCAATAGGAACATAGATTATGCAACCAAAAAAGTCAATTTAAGATGATGCTTGAGCTAAATTACAAATTATCTGCTCTTAAGGTAAGCTGTTGCTTATTAAAGTACTTGATGTGAGTCACTACATAATCAAGTATTTAGTGAAATTGCCCCTGATTGCCCTGGTATGGCCGAGAGTGGGGAGAGTCTGCCCTCCCTCTCCAAATGCTCTCACATGACAATGCGTATATAGACTCTGCCAGGGAAGTCCTACTGACTGCCTTCTCGTGGCAGTTTTGTTCACAAAATTGAGAGGACGAAAAGTGAATGTCCGACAGGGGATAGTTTGACATAAGTGTTCATTATTCAGATCAAAGCTATTATTCCATTGTTTTGTATTGTTCATTGTTTTATAACTATCCAGAGTGCCCTGATTGACTGATAAATAGCCAAAGGTCGTTAGTATGTTATACTTTTGCCCAAACAGTACCTGAATAATGAACAGTGGTATTTTTCAAGTGTGGGTAGTTTTTCGTTCTACAGAGGGGCTTCCTTGTAGCAGCAGTACACATCCTCGACAACACGAACGAGGACAAACTCTGGGACTATCAACTCGCATAATGAGCACCTATATTTCAGTTTAGTAAGATGGACATCTAATGGTCCTAATGAATTCTTGATATCGTACAACCATTATCCAATCTCATCGGTGGACATAACTTACTTTACTTACTTACTTTCGCCTGTTACTCCCAATGGAGCATAGGCCGCCGACCAGCTTTCTCCAACCCACTCTGTCCTGGGCCTTCTTTTCTAGTTCTTTCCAGTTCTTGTTCATTCTTCTCATGTCTGTCTCTATTTCTCGGCGTAATGTGTTCTTTGGTCTTCCTCTTCACCTTCGACCTTCAGGATTCCATGTGAGGGCTTGTCTTGTGACACAATTGGGTGATTTCCTCAAAGTATGCCCAATCCACTTCCAGCGCTTCTTCCTGATTTCTTCCTCCGCTGGAATCTGGTTTGTTGTCTCCCACAGTAACTTGTTGCTGATAGTGTCTGGCCATCGGATCCGAAGTATCTTGCGTAGACAACTGTTGATGAACACTTGTATCTTCTGGATAATGGCTTTCGTAGTTCTCCACGTCTCTGCCCCATACAGAAGAACTGTCTTGACATTTGTATTGAAAATTCTAACCTTGGTGTTGGTTGACAATTGTTTTGAGCTCCAGATGTTCTTCAGTTGTAAATATGCTGCTCTTGCTTTGCCGATCCGCGCCCTCACATCTGCATCTGATCCACCGTGTTCATCAATGATGCTGCCCAGATATGTAAAGGTTTCCACATCCTCCAAAGCTTCTCCATCAAGTGTAATTTGATTGGTGCATATTGTGTTGTATCGGAGAGTCTTGCTTTTCCCTTTGTTTATATTGAGACCTACTGCTGCTGAGGCTGCTGCTACACTGGTTGTTTTCTCCTGCATTTGTTGTTGCGTTTGTGATAGAAGAGCCAGATCATCCGCGAAGTCTAAATCGTCAAGCTGCATCCTGCCTGTCCACTGTATCCCGTGCATTCCTCCAGATGTTGACGTCTTCATAATCCAGTCGATCACCAGGAGAAAGAGAAAGGGTGAGAGTAGGCAACCTTGCCTAACACCGGTCTTTACCTCGAACGAGTCGGTGAGTTGTCCTCCGTGGACGATTTGGCAGTTTAGTCCATCATAGGAGTTCCGTATGATATTGACTATCTTCTCAGGCACGCCGTAGTGTCGAAGAAGCCTCCATAGTGTCGTCCTGTCCACGCTATCAAATGCCTTCTCGTAGTCGATGAAGTTGATGTAGAGTGGACATAACTGCCTCACTTCAAATATGATTGAATTTCAACTAGTTATAGTGTGTTGTTGAGGAGTTATATACTAGGTCAAAACATTTGTCTAGTACTCCTTGATACTCAATGGTTGTTTAACCAAAGTCAGCTCATGATATTATCTATAAATATAAGCTAATGGCTATTTGTTTGTGTTTAACAACATCAGCTGTTTCACTGAATATTATCATATGACTGCTTATTCAATGACAAAATTTGTCAATCTCTGATATACCGAGCATGATACCATTAACAGAAACAAATACACATAGTGACTGATGTGCATAGAGAACAATTAATTAACTAGAAAATACGCTAATAATTAAGCATGCACTCACACACACACAATTAACACATACGAAGATCAATAAAAGTTTATTGATTGCACAAAGTGGTAGCAAGAAACACAAACTCAGTGTATAATAAGTAGTATATACGCACGAACTTTATAAACAGTAATGATGTAAGTAAACAAAAAGTAGTACGGACAGTGTGATAGATACACACATCATCCATACAACACACAAACACACAGAGAGAAATAACACTCAAATGTTAGCCAAAGAATTAGGCTGTTGAATGCATTGATACTTAACAAAGAGAAATTCCTTGAGGCATATAATAGAGGTGGGATATTACTGACAATATGTGTTTGTAGGTCATAATTTTTGCAAGTTCAAAGGAAGATCTAACCACAAAGCATCAAAGTCTATAAACAAACCGGAAATTATTAACGGTCCTTCTTTAAAGAGTAGTTATTTATTAAAATCATTACAAACTAACAACGCTTGGTATGTGAGATAGCCCAGAATCGTTGCCAGGCACTTCCACACTGCAAAAACTAGTTGCAACAATTTGCCCCGAAATTTCCTGGTCGAGGGTAGGGGGAGTTAGATGTACCTCTCCAAATGCCCTGACATGGCCACGAGTATACAGACACTGTCAGGAAAGTCCTACTCACTGCCTTCTCACACTACATGTGTTGCGTAACGTAGATGAGAGGACGAAAAGCGAATGTTCGGTGGGGGATTAAACCAAGATGATAGGAGTATGACGAAGGACACACGTAGGGGAAGTGGAAAACACTCATTCCAAACCATATTACCATATTTCACATAATAAATAATCTTTTATTATCCCAACATGAAATATGACAACCTTTAACTCTTATATCATAGATCTACTTTTATTTATAACATAATTGAATAAGATTTGGATGAAATTTCAAAAATTTAACATTGAATAATTTGCCGGTGCATTTGAAAAAGAAATAAAGAATATTTTTCAAAGTTGAAATCATGAGTCAATTGAAGCTAGACCACCATGGAAAACCTGGAAGCACTGGACGACCGTTTCGTCCTATTATGGGACTACTCAGCAGTGTGCAGCCACGACCTCACCTAGCGAGATTCGAACCCAGGATCTACCAGTCTCGCGCCAGAGCACTTAACCGATAGACTACTGAGCCGGCATACGATTTTCTTTGATGGTCTAGCTTCAATTGACTCACAATTTCAACTATGAAAATACTAAATCTCCACAAAACCTCTACTGAAATAAAACATAGTAAGTCTATATATGGAAAAGGAAGTAATCTTTTACAAAAACAATAATAATACTTTTAAGATAAAGAAAGATATTTACCGGATTCTTGAAATTGTGATAAAATTGGATGTAATAAATTGTTAGATAACTTGTCCAAATTTTTAATTTCTTGACTATTTAATAGCTCTTTACAATTATTACTATTACCAGTGTTAGCAGTAGTAATATTAGTAGTTCGAGGTTTCGGTATCGGTTTATTCAACTGAGAGTTTGAAACAACTGACGACTACAAACAGATGAAAGAAAACAGTAGACAAAAATGGTTACAAATAAGATAGAAATGTATAATTTGTTGATCGATTAACGAATAAATATTGTTTTGTGATCGGAATTCAAGGTAAGTATTGCTAGAAAATAAATTGAGCTTAAGAAGTTTATTGGTGTATAGATACTTTCAAAGTGATGCTCGTGTATGTTGAGACCATTGAGCAAGCAATGTTGAAGTCAGATACAGAGTACTAGGTAAAACTGGCAGATCAGTTGATGAGATTGTGGACGTTTATAAACAGATGTGATTGAGAAACATGTTAGGTATCTCTAACCACTACACACCCATATGTGAAACAAAGGCTAGAGATCAGTCTAAAATATCGGATCAGTCCATCTAGTCACCAACAATTGGATTGGACTGTGTCGGTAGCTGCAGATTACCCAGTTAGAGTCCGAGCAACTATTGTGATTTATAGTTACAAACGTTGAGCTTAGATAGCTTAGAGTTCGTTAAAGCTGCAGAGATGGGCTCACTACTCCTTTTCCTTTAAACCTTGAGTTTTAAAGTTATTTTTCTTTTGTTTTACAAATTTATTCTTTGTTTTCGAATCATATTGCTTATGTCTATTCCTTTCTACTACCACCGGTACTGTTACTTCTCCTGCTACTGAGGCGTTTGAATTGATAATTTCTGTTCAGTGGTGTGTGTTAACTAGTACCCATGCACCATGTGTTAGTTTTTACTTACCTTATGATTGAAGTGTACTGAAGATCTGTACAAATGAGATGGAAAATTATAACAGACACTTTTACTCTGAAACAACTTTGATATCCAATTATATCCAAAATCTATGCCATATTCAGTAGCGATCCACGTCATGCACACTATTTATTTATTTATTCAAACACGTGAACATTGGTACAAGGATGCACCAAACAGATATGCGCCACATAAATCATTCGATTTGTGTGAGGGCTGAGATACTCCCCGAGTGCCCAAACCGAAGCACACACACAATACCATGTGTAGTTGAAAGAAAACTAGGAAGAAAACTTGTGATAATGCCATTTTATTGTACGATGTCTCAATTTGACCAAGTTGAGAATATCTATTAACCACATAGATATACCAACCAGTTTCAACCATCGTAATCAGAGTTAATAATCAGTAAAAAAAAACTTCAAGCCATGTGATGTCACAAATACTTAGTTAACGACAATCATCAATCTTTAATTTTCGGATTCACCACGGAAACTACCGAACCAACTTTGAATGAAGACAAAGAATGATACAACAGACACGATGATGATAACATGAAAGATCTTGTAATAGAACTATGAAAATGCTTGACATGACAAATTTCATATGATGTATAAAATGTTTAGCTTGGATGACATTTTTTTAGGAATAAGAAGTGTTATGGTTAAGATTGAAAAATACTTCAGTTATTTAGAAGTTGTATCAACCCTAATGAGTTAACTCTGAACTAAATCTTTGTTCAGATATACAAGTTGATTTGGCACTGATCAACTTCTGATATCAATAATGCCAATAAAACATCTAACAACTAATTAAACTAGGTGTATATTGTACAAGGATCTATTATATGCTGATTTCTGGCTGTGAGACGCATAAAAATGTGAACGATTTGTAAGCTTTAGTAATATAGTTAAGCATCAAGTAATCACAGTAGTCCGAATTAACCTTCTCTGTTAGTCAGTCAGTCAGCTACAACGTAGGACCAGGCACATTTATTCATCGGTCCCAATTGCCATACCTTGTTAGCACAACAAGATGAACACCGAATTCATAGAAGTAGTTAATTTAGTGGTGATAATATATAAAAGAAAGGTTGTATATAAGGATATAGTATAGGAAGGAAGAAATTTATGAAGCAATCTTAATCTCAAGGTTTAAGTGAAGATAAACAGTGTATACATCTACACCATTGTGATCGATTCTGAGCCATGTCACCTAGAGTCTCCAACCATTGGTTACGATAGTCACGCGGACCCCAATCAGGTAGTCTGCATCTGCCAACATGGCTCAGACTAGAAGTTAGTGACTTCAGGCACTGATGCCACGTTTTGCTTTGACCGCCCCGCCACCTTCTCTGTTAACCTTTAATAAACATTTAGTGATTCACTTCATGTTCTTTTTGCTTGTTTTAATGTTTCTTCAGTATCTCTTTTTAAAACTATCCTCCATTTTTTATGCCGTTGTAACGTGATGGTATGTTAAATTTATCAAGTTTAAGGTTGTAAAAACGGATGAGGGGTAGTAGGATAAATCGCTATAACATGAAGATCTTATAGCAACACTCCTACAACTAATTTTAATTACGGTTAATTTTGTCAAACCCTTTAATTAATTAATTTGACAGAGTTATTCATACAGTAGCAATTAGTCTATTTCTTTGTATTATTATGATCACATGTGACAGTCTACGTACATATTCCCCCACTTTACCTTATATGGTCATCGCTTGACGAATCACTCTCTCTACCATATATATACTTCAATCTTATTAATTGTTTTGCCGTGCCTCGCTTCGCCTCGAACCCGCTTCTGTACTTGCTTGCTCGTGTACATTAGTTTCTCTGTTCAAATTCACTCGATGCGCTGGTAGCTTTTTCTTATCTGTGCTATCCAGTAATAAACTGTAGTCGCCGATTCGTATTGCTTTCTGAATTCATACATCGTCGGGATTTATTTAATAAACGGTTATCGGGGTGATTGATAAACGAAACTTAAGAAATTATCTCGAAATCAAGCCACTACGATTTAAAATGTAATGTAACTTATTGGTAACATATGAGTGATACCACTATTAATCAGATATTAGAAATAAAATGATGATAGAATATGTTCTAATCTGTAATAAGTCAGTCAGCTACAACGTAGGACCAGGCACATTTATGCATCGGTCCAAGTTGCCATACCTCATTAGCACAACAAGATGAACACCGGATTCATAGAATTAGTTAATTTAGTGTAACAAAATAAAAGAAGATCGGCTTTTTTAACTAAACAGTAAGTCAATCACTTACAAAGCAAATCCTGTACATATGTACATCGGTTTAAGTAGCCATAACCCACAGAGAGATGAAATTATAAGACCGAATCCCAGAATGCTAGAGGTAGTATAAGGATTAATAGTAATAGGGAACATTGGGCATCAATGATACGATTCAAGGAAAAGATATAAATTAGTGAAATAAAAACAAAGAAGTTGAGGAATTCAGAATATCAAAATTTGATGGAAATCAAAGAATGGATAACAACTCTCTAATACTTACATTTCACAATAACTTTGCCGTTTTACACACAACTATAACTGAAACATTATCAACAACAACGCCTTACTTGATGGATTAATTAGACTTAATATGTAAAGTATTCACTCAAGAGGCTAAAAAACTTACAGTACAATCAGGTGAATTGTTCATTTCATCTTTATAAACATCAGTAGTAATAGTAGTAGTAGTAGTAGTAGTAGTAGTATTACTGGCATTAGTAGTATATAAAAATGCAGAATTGGAATCTTTCAAAGACATATTTTGAATACCATTAGCGATATTAGATGAAGTCAATATTTTAAGCGATGATAATTCACACATTGTATCAGTAATTGGTTGGTTAGGAACAAGAGATTTATGCAGTAATGTAAGTTGAATATTTCGATCGCTGAAACAAAAGATTTAAGATGAGCTCAATGAATATTAAAGAGAATAAAAACGAAGTTAAGGTATATATATATATATATATATATATATATATATATATATATATCAGTCGCACGTATAGTCACTTAGACTAGTGAGCAGCACACTAAAGGACCAGACAAATATTACACTGATCATTTCTAAGTGATCAATTCATAGCAAATACCTTCGATTTACTGGGGTCAGTCACGATTCAAGTTGCTCAGTACTGATAACTCTAACTGTGCAGCCCCCAAATGCCCTGGTACGGCCGAGGGTGAGGAGAGTCTGCTCTCCCTCTCGAAATGCTCTCATATGGCCACGCAAATATATAGTCTCTGCCAGGGAAGTCCTACTCACTGCCTTCTCGTTGCGGGGGTGTTGTTCACAAAAGTGAGAGGACGAAAAGCGAATGTCCGGCGCTTTAACCGGGTTGATGGACATGGAAAGTTCACCTAGGGGAGTTGGAAAACCCTCATTCCAAACCAATGGTGCACATGGGCTCCAGTATCCTGAGGGAACAAATGGCGTACAAATCAACCGTTGATCACCGGCTACCATGGGACTGCATCTCCTCATGATGCTCCACTGCCTTGTGGATCAGACATTCAGGTCAAAGGCTCTGGGTGTGGCCCCCTAAGAAAACCACCTGCTTCAGTCTGGGCACCTGAGCAGTATCACAGCCCTCACACAAATCGAATGAGATTTGTGAGGCACATATTTATATGGTGCTTCCTTGTACCAATATTTATGTGTTTAAATAAATAAGTAAATAAAGTGCAACTGAGTGGTCTAGTTTCGAATCCAACATGAAGCATTAGTTCCCTACATATTACAAGTAAACCTCAGTGATGAGTCTCAAATAACATAAAACCGTGATAAAGCAAGGCTTTCTATAGGTTCCTTCAACCACTTAGCAGATCCAATTAATGGTTTCAATATTACATATTTTGTTATGTAGAAATCAACGACAATTCATAATTAATGATTGGAAATGACATGAATAAAAATGTGAAATCATAATTACAATAACAAGTCAAATATAATGAAAGTAATTTTTTCTCGTCAAACAAAAACAGGAATCTAGATAACGAATTCAGACTTGAAATTATTCTGGACAGTTTAAAAGCCTAGCCGCTCACTCAACTGTTCGAAAGGCCTGAATATTACAAAGTTTGATTTATTTATTTAAGCACATTAAATATTGGTACAACGAAGCACCAGATAAATATGTGCCTCACAAATCTCATTCGATTTGTGTGAGGGCTGTGATACTGCACAGGTGCCCAAACTGAAGCAGGTGCTTTTTTAGGAGGCCACACCCGGAGCCTTTGATCTGAAGATCTGATCTACAAGGTAGTGGAGCATCATGAGGAGATGCAGTCCCATGGTAGCCGGTGACCAACTATTGATTCATACGCTATTTGATCCTTCAGGATTCTGGAGTCAACCCATGTGCACTATTGGTTTGGAATGAGGGTTTTCCAACTCCCCAAGATGAAACCTCCGTGTCCACTAACCCGGTTAAAGCGCCGGACATTCGCTTTTCGTCCTCTCAATTTCGTAAACAATAGTAATGCCACGAAAAGGCAGTGAGTAGGACTTAATATTCGCTGGCCATGTGAGAGCATTTCGAGAGGGAGAGCGTACCCTCCCTATTCTCGGGCGTACCAGGGCATTTGGGGGCAAAGTGATGAATACGAGATATACAGAAAAGAAATTTACAGCGGCATAAATCCGATATGTTATTTGCAATAGGTGATGTATTTATACACGAAAGTAAACTTCCCAGAAAACCTCAATTTGCTCAGACAACTGATTTCGAGTACAACCATCATTCTATGTAAACAGTAAAATGTATTGCATGCAACTAGGACGTTAAGCAATCAACAGTCATATTCAGCTAGCTAAAGTGGAAAAAATATTTATCTATAACTCTGCAACGATCATTACATTGTTTACAACTAAACTTGTCAGAAGATTAAAGTATTGAATCTCGATTGGTTCTTTGTAGCAATATCATCAGCCAAAAATCTTAGGGAGATATTTTCGAATTTACGTGTTTTGTGGCATTAAACAAACGTATTACATTGAAGATATCATACTACACAACCGTGTAACTCAAATTAGTACACAACACTGCATAAGCATATAGATTGACTAACACACAGTACTGAAATTAATTAGTGATATGTTCCATGATAGTTCTCTCCCGTTAGTTTAGAACGACCATACCACGTTAGGAACACCGGTTCTCGTTCGATCACCGAAGTTAAACAACGCTGGACCCGATTAGTACTTGCATGATTAACTGGCTGGGAATATCGGGTGTCACAGAGTGTTTTTACCTCTAAATCCCTTGGTACAACCAAGGGTGTGGAGGATTCCCTCTACCTCTCTAAATGCCCTTATGTGTAAAACCATATATATCCACTGCTAAGGAAGCTCTAATCACTGACTTCTCGTTGCTGCAGTGTTGCTTACGAAATTGAGAGGACGAAAAGACACTATCCATTGGCGGGTTAAATGGAGTTGGCGTGTACGAACAACATACCCAAAGCAGTTGCAAAATCCTGATTCCAAACTAATACTGTATATGAACTACATCGAGTATGAAACTACTGTTGGTCACCGGTTATCATGGGACCGCATCACCTAACATCGATTCACTGCCTTTTCGATTATATCTCTATGTAAAATGATTGCGGAATGCCCTCCTAAGAAAATCACCTGCTTCGGTTTAAGCACCCATTCTACACAAATTCAATGAATTGTGTGATTATCCCGTTGTTGATATTTTGACTGGATTTTTTCTTCTTAGTTTTATTAGGCATATATCTATCTTGTGTGGGTAAGCCCGATAGATTTCATTACTAAACACAATTCAATCTAATATTTTATAAAAATCAGCTTTGTTTTGGTCTATTTTATCGAGATACAGATAAATTTAGTTTTAAAAGTTATCTTGGGGGAATTCAGTTGAACCTGTTCTATGCTAACAGAAATTAACTTGCTAATAAATTTAAGCCATTGAATGACGTATACAGAATGTGTGATTATAGGATTTCCAGTTTTAAATCACGAATCTTGTTGAAACTATCATTGGATGAAGATTCCCCAATATCGTGGATTGGCTAAATTTCGACAGTAACACCGTGGATCCCACAGTTTCGTGGTCTGGGGATTAAGTGTTCGTGAACGAGAGAGAAGGTCCTGGATTATATTCCCGAATGCGGGATCGTGGATGCCCACTGTTGGAGAATCCCATACTAGGACGAAACGGCTATTCAGTGATTCCAGTCTTCCAATGGTGATCTAAGAACAGTTCGTGATTTGAAACTGTGAAAACTAAATTAGGTATCGCAAATGCACATCTTATTTGTAAGAACATTCTACAGCATGATAGTAACAAAAGTTCAAAGAATTAGAGATGAGTGACTGTGTAGTAAACCAACACTGAAAACAAATTTTAAAAGAATGAATGAAGATAAGTTAGTCAGGATAAGTTTACTGATTAAGACATAATGACTCAATCAACTGAAAGGAGTTGAACAAAAGCTTATGATGTAATGAAGACCTTTAAATATTACGGGTTGTGTAAGAGGCTGACGAGAGCCCACATAAATAAGATGGATTTATTTTAGTCTTTTCAGATGTTTGTTTACGCTGTATTCATTTATGTTCAACTGCTTAACTTTGCAATTACCAAAGTCTTATTATTATCCTTACGTAAAGAGCTACTATAATTGACCGATTGTTTGACCTCGTTATTAGAGTTCATTTTGCATCCATCCAGTTACTAACTGACTCCTATATTTAGAGAAACTATTAAGGCATATTGTTAACTTCACCCATCGGGACTCATGTGGTAATGATTTCATTTGTAACTAAAACTTAGATATATTTGTGTAGAGCCTTGATGAGGAGCTAAATAAAAAATAAAATCTATTCGCTCAACTTGTGCGTTCACACAACCGGAAAATCAATATCAGTAGTAGTGGTAGTAGCGATAGTAGTTTACATTGACTGACGTCGATACACAAGACGCATGTTCCAATTAAATTCGATAAGAAAATAATAATAACCACATTGTAATACTGCAGCCATTGAATTTCGACTGACAATAAAATCCAGGAAGCGTGTTTTTCATTCTACTTGTGACAAGTTGGTGGTCAGATTTAGGTGCAAAAACAATCCTAATGAAAAACCCACTCATTTGAAAATTAGTAATGTGACTGATTATGCTAGCAGCCATTTCGCACACCAAATGTATATTAGACTGTGTGATTGAAGGTAGTCGACAGCAAACCCTCCTTGACCTAGGTTTCGTGCTATTTGGCCCTCATCAATGAGGTCTACTTGTATTATTAAGGGAGATGATGTTCCGTATGGAATTCGATTCCATGTCTCTCGACATTACAATTAGAGACGGTACCACTGAGTTGTTAGGACAGTGACGGACCTCCTAGAGTACTGAAATATATTTACGAATGACTGAACATTGAGTAGTGACCAATATCATGAATGTGAAGTCTTTTTTGGTCCCATTAGGCAGGATTCGATTAGTATTAAAAACTCGACATTGGTCACTACTCAGTGATCAACCACTTGCAAATATGAGTACCCACCCAAGACTTCTCAAGGCTTCACATTCGATTAAAATTGACTCATTTTGTTGAAATCAATTTAGTTAGATACACAAGCTTTAATATGAATTAAAGCTTCCATCTAGCAGTACAAATAATTGATAAAGTTATTACATTTCTTAAGCATTAAGTGAATGCTACGCGACGAATAGAAAGAACTAACCTGCCACTCCGGAGGAAATTGGAGACTTCTAAGAAGGTCATGGATTTCACAGGTTTTTGATTAATGGCAACAATCCGATCACCTATTCTTAAACCAGATGCCTCTGCCGAACTGCCTCGAGCAACTTTAGTCACTAGAGCAGTAGACTCGTAAGGTTTACCTGTAAAAATTTCGATTATCAAAATGTAAACTAGTTTATTTACTAGACAGACAACCAGACAAGTAAACTAGATGTTGAAAGTGCACTAGAAACACGTAGGTAAGTCAGTAAGTCACCATCAAAGTAGATATTTGGCACAGATGTGTGTTGGCGAGAACATAACAAGATAAACACTAAAAAAATATTGAGATAATGCAGCAGCAATGATAATGACAGAACTGGACGTTGAGAATTTGGCTCGAAAAGACACAGTGGAACGATGTATACGAAAGAAAATCGGAATTCGAGATCAAGAGGAAGATAAAGAGTGAATGGATTTGAATTACTATGAACGGTAATAAGGTATTTCAACTAAAGTCTTTTAAACACAAATCGCAGTTAACTCATGGACCCCAACCAGGCAGTCTGCATTTACCAACATTGTTCGGTCCAACAATCAATGAATTCAAAGACTGATCCCACGTCACATCATGGTTTGACCTGTACTGGCTCTTTTACAACCTACTTCGACACCAGCTAGCATAGATCATCTAGGCAGGCAGTGGTTTGGCAAATGTAACAAAAGTCCTGACGACCTCAGTCGATGAGAATTAACAACTCTACCAACCAACGTCCAACTTTTGCAAAGTACCTCATGTCTACATTCAACATTTCCATGAAGCGCCAGTAATGTTTCGAAAACACCTTTAGTCTACACATGTCTTTTACTTTTAAAAACCATGTTCTACAAGTGTAGTGTTTCTCGTCATCAATCATTTGGTTGGTAAACAGACATCTCATCTGCTAAACAAGTAACACAAAATGGTTAGTGTTAACTGAGATTACAAACCCGTGCCAAGATTACACCAGATGCCAACCCACCAGGGCCAATAAGACTTTCAAGACAAATGAAGTATTCATTACATTTATTTATTTGAACACATATTGGTACAATGGGGTACCGAATACATATGGGCCACACAAGTCATCTGATTTGTATGTGGGCTGTGATACTGCCCGGATGCCCAAACCGAAGCAGGTAGTTTTCTTAGGAAGCTACACCCGGAGCCTTCGACCTGAAGGTCTGATCTACGAGGCAATGGAGCAACGTCAGAGAAGGTAGTCCCATGGTTTATTTTTATTTATTTTATTTAAACACATAAATATTGGTGCAAGGAAGCACCAGATAAATATGCGCCTCACAAATCTCATTCGATTTGTGTGAGGGCTGTGATACTGCTCAGGTGCCCAGACTGAAGCAGGTGGTTTTCTTAGGGGGCCACACCCAGAGCCTTTGACCTGAATGTCTGATCCACAAGGCAGTGGAGCATCATGAGGAGATGCAGTCCCATGGTAGCCGGTGATCAACGGTTGATTTGTACGCCATTTGTTCCCTCAGGATACTGGAGCCCATGTGCACCATTGGTTTGGAATGAGGGTTTTCCAACTCCCCTAGGTGAACTTTCCATGTCCATCAACCCGGTTAAAGCGCCGGACATTCGCTTTTCGTCCTCTCACTTTTGTGAACAACACCCCCGCAACGAGAAGGCAGTGAGTAGGACTTCCCTGGCAGAGACTATATATTCGCGTGGCCATATGAGAGCATTTCGAGAGGGAGAGCACTCTCCTCACCCTCGGCCGTACCAGGGCATTTGGGGGCATGCGACCAAAAATTGGTTTATATGCTATTTGCCCCTTCAGGATCCATTTCATTAACATGCACAGAATAAAGCTGACAGTTTCCCAAGCACCTGATGGTTATGGAAATTGTAAGAATCAAGTCCCATCCAACAACGCGGGGATAACACACAGCGTGATTAACTAATTAGTTACTCAAGTTGAACAGACAAGGGTCTAGATTAGCATAAGCCACTCTGGCTTTCATCATATGTGAATCGATTTCATCATTTATGCCACCACTAGAACTTACACAGCTACCCAGGTATACAAACTTTTCGGCGATAATAGGTGTCGTTGAAGGACTATTCGCGTACTTAGGGTTCACTGAGTGACAAATGTTGAGATTAAGCATAGGATACTAAGTAAATGTGACAAATCGGTTCGTGAGAAAGTGAACCTTCATTGGTTGAGGTGGTTGGGACATGTACTGCGTAAGTCCATTCATCGTCTAACTCAGGTGATGCTATCTGGAGTAGAAGTATGTTGTAAAAAAGTTAGGTGACCCCAGACCAAGACGTGGCATCAGTCCATGAATTTATTAACATCTGAACTGAACTATGCGGATGTATATAATGAGAATACCAAAACATCAATTCTATCAACTGCCAAAATGCAAGTGGGCACAAATTACGAAAAATGTGTTTGGTTGAGAGATTCAAACTGCTGTTTAGCACTTAGAACAATTTAACAATACTTTAGAAGTGACTTCACTTTATAGTGTAGATTTTTTAATCGTTTTAAAATTATAGGGTTTCCTAATAAATAACGCAATAGTAGATAACAGTAAAGAGAATCATATTTTTTAGTTTAGACAAAGACTGTTTATGGTACTTCTTAAAAAAGCAGGGCCTGGCACAAATGTCCACTAGCCCAAGTCTGTGTACAATATCAAAACGACGAGATGAAATAAGAGTAACGAGTGGCGACGAGACCTAGATAGTCGTAGTACCAATGACTAACAAAGATTAAACACTGAGACTTAATGAAAAAACAGGTATGAAGGAATAGTGGAACTTGAGATCTAGAGAAAGATAAAGAATCAATGCTTCAGCGCTATAGTCACATTCTAAGCTATTATACTTGACTTCTAAAACAACTGGTGGCGATTATAGTGCGAATCCTAGTGAAATAACCTGTATTTACTACAATGAGTAAATGAGAATTCACGTACTTAATTAATATCCTCAGACAATTGTGACGCTTGGAACGCATCAACAAAATTTTGTGCAAGTGTTGCTTGGAAACAAATAACCTACTAGGCGATAAAAATAAGATTACTTGTCTGTTATCATAGGCTAGTACACTGTCGATTTAGCAATACCTGAAGAACGATGTTTTCTTTATAATTCGAAGGGTTTCAGCGATAATATGATTTGCTTTTGCTCCTCACGGCTGCTCACAATGTGTAGAAGTTTTCTTTGGAAACCATTGTTTGTAACATATGGGGATGATATTTCCAAGTTTCGAAACAAATCGACCTTCATAAAATTGTTGGTCTCGGGGGTTATCACAACTGTAAGCAGATCATTACAAGTTTGCGCATCAGTTAATTTTATCAGTCACATATACTTATTCAGGAGCTTAATAACCTGAACAGGGAAAAGGATTTTTACGAACATTTAAACAAAATATATTTATACCGCTAGCCTTGTGGAATGGGTACAAAGAGAAACGTATGTTAACTTTGGTAAAATGATTTGACCAGTCGCCTTTAGCAACTGAATGTCCAAATCCCGTCCCACTTACCTTAGTTGGAGTAAAGAAAATGAATCATCACAGATGAAATAAAAGCGGTGATTCTGAACTACTAACTGAGGTAATACGTGACCAGAAATTCAAACAAGAAGTATACCTTTACTTAAAGTTTAGACCCGATAACTCAACAAAGGAAAATAGTGATTCTGAATGATACATTGATTTTTTATTAAATAAGATAGTATGGTTAGCAATTAGGAAGCTAAAGAGCTTAACAACCGCCGTAGAAAGGATGGAATTAATTTGAAGAGTTTAATAGACCTTTCTGATGAAAACCGGTCGGCTAGTATGAAGTGGAATCTAGTAAACAGTGAATTTGATGTCGATAACCAATGTAATATAGTAGGAAAAAAACCTAGCCGAACCGAGGTTGCTTGAACAGATATCTACTTAACATTCAGGAATCCTGACAAATAGATCAAAAATCACTTTTCAAAACCAAAGCAACAAAAATGCGAGCCGGATAAGATATTAAACGAACTGAATTTATTCGTCAGACCCAATGTTATCGCTTGCTAAGCACTTTCGAAAGAACCTACTTAGTGAGGTATAAAATCCACACGCTAATAAAATAAAGAAAATGACCGATTTATGACTCAAGTCGTGAGAGCCTTATATTTAAGCTTTACTGTTTTGCGTTCTCAATTTATTAAAAAGAAATATCTGTCAAGCTTACCATCGTCTTTTAATGTAAATCCCAACCCGAAAGGAGTCTTTTCAATGACAATAGACATTGGTATATCCATTGTGAGGTTATAAGATCACTTTATTATGACAGCTGCATATCTCAGAGTTAAATCACCAGAGAGCTTCAGTAGAAAATGAACTACATGCCATGTGAGAAACAGAGTATCCAAATCAAAGAACCCGCTTATCTACAGCAACATCTATTTCCACGTAAGTCAAGAGAAAAGAAAGGGATCAGAAAAGAAAGGATGCAAAATCATTGTTTAAGCATTTGACATGATTTGAAAATCCTTTTCAACATTCTTGGATTATCGTTCCTTGATTTTTAGGGTCACTACTTAAGGTTCAATATCGTAAATTGACAATGTTTTCAGGATTGATTACCACTTGCTCATGCAGTTTCCTGTTAAGAAAGGATAATAACTTGGATTGTTTTCTTGCTTTGAGCTTCAGAATATTGTTTTTATTTTGAATATTTCAATTTCATAGTGTGGTGGTAAATAAATCCCCGAAATCAATAGCTCTGTAAGTGTTCGACATTGGATGCTGACCTCACTAGTTTTAACCAAGTTCTGACCAAGCTGAAGGAACTCTGACATGCATCCTCACCAGATCACGAGTGGGAACGCCTTATTCAACTTCTCCTGTGATCACTAGCCAGTTTAGATCAGTCACTTCTCGATATATTGATAATCTATCAAATATATCTTTGTCCGTGTTTTGTACTCCCAAAGCCATCGCAATTCATATCCACAAACCGAACCTATGTATCCAAAAGAAGTTTGTACAACCACTCTCGCTACCTTGGCCATCGGTATAGCGGAGTTTGTAGCATAATTTCGGTAAACAATTATCTTATTCCTTCCATTTTTTGTATTTTGTATTTTACTTATTCTCTTCATTCGTCTCTTGATTCTTACATAATTACTATATTACTGACCATTCATCAAAATTTTTTAGTTCTTACTTCTCTTTTTTATATATTATGCAACGTAGCAACAGCTTGATTTTCGAATAATAACTTTGATTAGTATTAATCCTTCTCTTCCAATTAATGTTAGTTTATAATCGATGTCATTATATAATCATTACGTAACGTATCTACTCCATGAGTGTTATTTAATTATTGTAAATCATATATATATTAGTGTAGAGCCATGATGAAAAACTAATTGAAAAGAAATTACTTCGCTCGATTCGTTCCTTTTTTAATTAACAAATGTCAAAATGGGAATTTTCACTTTATTAAGATTTCCTTAATGTATGTCCGATCCACTTCCAACGTCTTTTCCTAATTTCCTCTTCAGCTGGAAGCTGGTTTGTCCTCTCCCATAAAACGCTGTTGCTGATAGTATCCGGCCAATGGATGTTGAGTATTTTGCGTAGACAACTATTTATAAATACTTGTGCCTTCTTGACGATGGTCGTAGTAGTTCTCCATACAGTAGGACTGTCTTGACGTTCGTATTGAAGATTCTGACCTCGAAATTAGTTGAGAGTTGTTTTGAGTTCCATATGTTCTTCAATTGTAGAAATGCTGCCCTCGCTTTGCCAATCCTTGCCTTTACATCTGCATCCGATCCACCTTGTTTATCGACGATGCTCCCCAGGTACTTGAATGTTTCCACCTCTTCCAGAGTTTCGCCGTCAAGTGTGATTGGGTTGGTGTTCTCCGTGTTGCATTTGAGAATCTTGCTTTTTCCTTTGTGAATGTGGAGACCCATCGATGCGGAGGCTGCTGCTACATTTGTTGTCTTCATCTGCATTTGAACGTGTGTATGAGAGAGGAGGGCTAGGTCATCTGCGAAGTCCAAATCATCTAATTGATTCTGAGCTGTCCATTGTATTCCGTATTTCCCTCCAGATGTCGAATTCTTCATAATCCAGTCAAT